CTCGTACTGCTCGTTCTGTAATGCAGAACGACGGAGAATACGTTCGAATTAACACAAGCCTTACGTAGTTAACCCCTTATTCTTGCGAGGCGCTTAACGAAACGCTCTCTATTATTCGCAGGTGTGCATGCAAACGAACGGGATAATATACGAGCGTTGCACTAGGCGAAAGTACCAGATTCAATAATGTCAGTTATTAAATCGTTGCCCGTATAAATAAGAACCCGTGGAAAGCTAACCGTGTTTTGACCCGCGGTACTCGTGCCTGGGAACAAATTGCAGGGATAAATTGGGCTAATTACTGAAAATGAACAGATCTCGTTCCTCTGGAATCTCCAATGCTGATCGTTAATTAATTTGACGATGTATGAGGTCCGTTTTAGTATTTCTTTCCGAATCTCTTTAATAAATTCGTAACCGAAACTGGTTCTCCTTGTTGTACTATTTAGAATACGACTAATTACGATAATGTTCGAATGTTAATCAATGTTTTGGTGTTGAACAACGGGTGATACATTTAATCACAATAGTTCAAGATAAAAAACATAAGTTATTTAACAATTTTAGTAATAGTTTGAGCTCTATAAGACCTTCATTATTTTTTAATGGGACTATGTGAGACTCGCCGACGACGCAAGCTAAATTTAATTTTTCCCAGACTTTCCTCCGAATTGTTATTTTTACTAATCACAAATTTCATTAGAGAACAGACACGCAAACGTGAAAGACTAATCTAATCAAACATCTAAATAAGAAGTACACCACAATTTCAGAAAATACTCCGTTTATCATGAGACTGTTCAACGTCTCCTACAAGTAGTATTTCTATTGAAAAACTCACGGAAAGCGAGGCTGCTTAGTTCCATTCTAAACACACGATGAACAGAGGCTCGAGCAAAGAGCGTGCTGAAAACGAGGCACGTTCACGCAACTACGCCGCAAATAGCGGATGTGTACAAATTCATGGTACAAGGAACGTCCATTCGCCGGCCGAGCAAAGACAAAAGGTACCCCGCGATGGAGATCGGCCATCAAATAGGGATGTTTTCATTTCGATGCAAATGCCAGACGCTGAGAATGAAAAAAAAAAAGGAGAACCATCGATCGTTTGGTCCTCTCCATACTTTGAAGATCCCTCCCACCGGAAGGTCGGCAAAAGAGCGACGAAGGGGGTGAAAGAAAAAAAAAAAGAATCAAGCGATGAAACAATCCTCGATAATCGATACAACTGGCCATGCAATAACCTCCCCGCGTAATAATTGGACCGCCCTTCGATATTTTACACAGAGACGTCTGGAGCCCACGATTGGTCGAGTAATTTTTACAAACTTCCTACCCAGTTATTAGTCCCATATCTTTCAATTTTTTCAAGTCTTTGGCTTAAATGAATTTCGAAATTCTGTTTAATCTTATTCTGCAACAGATTGCGATTAGACTAAGACACTGGTATTTATTTTTTTTTTTATGGTAGTTGATGTTACTCGATTTTTTACGCTTAAGTTTTCTTTGGCTGAACAAAAGTTACACCAATGTTAATTTCGTTACTTTGCAGTAAATAATGAAGGGCGGACGCGTCATTGATACTGACCGAAAGTCTTTGTGAACGACTCCGGTTTGCGCAGCGATTTATTGCGCCTCACGTGATACATATTCATCATGTGTGTTCGAACGGGAAGTATTCCGGCTCGTCCAGGAAACATGAGCATCGGAAACGGAGGCTTTTTTGGCTCGAAAAAGAACTTCAACGTGGAATGAACATCCTACAATCAAGGTCGAAAAAGTCGATCGATATACTTCGACCATGAATGTTATATGCACATCTCAGAGGCCAAATTGATCAACCCTAACGTTTATAAAAAGTTCAGTTTTTGTATCTTTCGTAAATTCACTTTTATGAATTCTGTATCCTATAGTATTCAACCAACATCTTACATGATTCAGTACGAAACATTTATTTTGTTTGTGTCTCAAACTGAATTTAGGAGAGCAACATCTACAATATTATGGATTGTCTGTCCTTTTGATTTTATAGTATTGATCCGTTATCTGAGTATTGATCCGTTACGCTTCTGAGAATTTCGTATGTATAGCAGCATTCAAACTACGATAGAGTTCATAAGTATTCAGACGCTGTGTCAGATCTGTAGTAAGAATTACTCTTCATGGTCAGAATTTAAACAACCTAGAGATAAATAATGCTATAAATAAAGACATAGTTTCATTACATCTGACACTTACAAACTCCAATTTTAGAAACTATTTATAACATATATATATAACATCTTATATAACATATTAGTTGGAAAATGTACATATATTAAAGAAAGAGAAACAAGTATCTCGATACTTTCGAGTGATAGTATGGTGTAACCACCCATAAAGGATACCTCCCAATCTGCCTTGCCTTTCGTGGTGTCTTTCGATCGATGACACGAAGACATTTCGGAGGGTATAATAGCAAGAAAAATACACACGAAATCATATGTTAACAAAACACTATTTTCAACACACGACATAGATTGCATGAATACTTTTTTCTGTTGGTGGCTGTATGGTTTCCGCTCCGAATGATAAAATTAATCATTTACTTATGGTTTTGGAGTACAACACGAACTGGCAATACAAAAACGTATTTTGGTATACAACTTGAAATTTAAGGGAAACCTGCGCCCTTAACCTTTTTTTGTTTAATTTACTCCATTCAACCTTGAAGTTACACCCACATCTATATACATATACACCCTGTATACGCAGATCTCGTAACGTCGTTCGGAATAACGCTCCTAGTTTTTATTGTGTCCAATAATACGACTCACTCCTCTAACCAGCAACTCATACCAAAACGTGAAGACCTAATGTAACTAACAGACAATTACTGACAGTTTTGTACTGTATTTCGTAAACGTCTTATTTTTCTTGTAAAAACAAACTAACTCGCTAAACCGTCAATTACACACTCCAAAACATCTGGACTCCGAAGTCTACAACGACTGATAATATCGACTCTGTGCAATATTTAAAAGTCTTAATAATCATCGTTACATTTTGGTCGAAAGTGGTTCACCCTCAGTGACCCACAATTGGGCGTCGGAACATTACGTAACTCGATACCAATTGGCCCTACAAACACACTTCATACATAAAATTGGTCAATCAAAATACCGTGGAGAATAACGATTTTCCTCGGCGAACTTATAAATCCAAACGAACGGGGAGCTGCTTCTAAACCCCCTGCGGGTCGAAACGATTAGAAAAACAGACGAGTGCTAACACAAAGGAGACATTCTTCGTCTGGCACGGGAAAAAGCGTTCCTTGCCTGTCAACTTTGTTTACACAAAGATAAATACCAAGAGACTATCAAGAAATACAACGCGTGTGACATTCTTGCGGATAGTACACGGACCGGGGAGTTTTCGTGCGAGTGAATGATGACAGACTCCCCCTACACTTGTTGTTATGCAACGAAGCGTGTGGACCCGGCTCGAGTGCCGGCTAGCGAAATGAGCGAAATAGCGTTCTCGTGGTGCAGAGCGCACGTGCATCTGGAAGGTTCACTGTACGAGAGACACTTTTGTACACACGGCCGCACAAAAAATTCGTACTCACCACAGACGTTCAGCCAACCCTCGACGCGACAAGGATACTCCAGCTTCATGGTGAATTATCGCGGCCGAAACACTAAGTACAGGAAATGTACTACACAAACACACTGGTCACATAAGAAAACGAATGCAACAGCCCGTAGTCAGGACGTGTTATCACTGTTAAACAATAACCGCGGCACACATTCTCACCCGACCGTTACAGCGCGACCACGAACTGATATTCTTTCTTATTCTTTTTTTTTTATATTGACGCGTAAACTAACACAAGAAACCACGAGGATAATAAACGCAGAGTATCGTTCGTACGAACACGAACGGACCACACGGTTTGACGTTGCGCGCGCAAACCGTCGTCACGATCCACGCACACCGGCGAACAAATCGGTACTGACTGAACGAACCTTCTCGCGTCCTCGTTGAGCCGGCCTTCCTTCTCCCTCTTTCCTGCACAGCTTCTCTGCCAGCCCCTCTCGCGTTCAGGTGGTGCGCTCATCCCAGTTATTTTTCCCAGATTACTGACACGCCGATCTGGATTATCAATTGTTTGATATAATTATTTGCTGTTTACGCGAGTGCACGTACGCGTCGTCACGTCACAACGGTACGGTTGAAAAGAACCGTTACGAATGGAACGTCGACTTTTCCGGTGGAACGAAGCGATTATCGAAATAAGTTTTTTGAGTAGCGATTCGATCTATCGAAACTTCGTGGAACTACCGTCATATTGACTTCACAAAATAATCGCCAAAATGCATTCTCGTAATAACTGGATTTGCTTCTTAATACACCAATTACAGTATTAATCTAATGTTAAAATGAGATAAAATTTTTCGTGGATATTAGAAATGTAGTACTCCACTGATGCACTTACTTTAATTGATTAAACAAGACTTGGAGTTCGACGGTTATTTCTAGCATTGTATTTCATGAGTACATATGACAGAATAAATTTTCAGTATAACTTTATGATTTTAAATTATTCATTCCTTGTCACAGATATAAATTATAAAATTATATTATTGTTAAGAATAAGACACTACTAAATATATATGTCACTCAACAAAATTATGCTTGTAGTCACGGCAGTAACGCTCTTTCATTATCATGTGTACATATGAAATTTATATCCTGACTGAAATTTACTGCTTTTAATAAGTAACTTTTAACAAACTCAATGCTTCTTAGTCTAAAATAACTTATTCAGACGATGTCAACAGGCACAGTAACTAATTAATTGTACTTACATTAATGAGTACGAACGAGCATCATCGATTCGAACGAAGGCACTCTACTAGATGATCACGGATTACAAGATAATTCTCGAAGTATCTTTGACAGCGTTTCAAGGCGCCACCTGGCAATCAAACTTGTAGTTGTAGTCAGTTTCTAGCAAAATGGCGCTCAAGGGACAAGTCGGTCAGAGTGAGTAACGAAAAAAAATTAATTTTACGCGAAGCTGACCAACTTTTTAAATATTTTCGCGTTACAATCATAGAACAATCACATGGATGTGTCTCGAGTAAAATATGTGTTGCCTAAACCGCTGACAGAGTCCGTAACCTCCAAAGGGGCGTATGTGCTGTGATGATTTCATCGTTTACGAAGCGGCTGTTAGACGGAAATGTCAAATCCGTGTTCATATTATTCTCAGTATTCTGTATCCCAAATTCCATGTACCACTATAAAAAATAGCTGAAATTATTGACTTTTATGTTTATTGAAAGTTTAATCTAACAATGACACAAAGTCATTTTATTAATATCCTTTCTGAGTAAATACATAAATATTGACTGATAATTCTGCGTACTTTAGATTGATAAAGAACTAACAGACCATCTTTTTTATATCTTCTACGAATTTTGTTAATTCTCAAACTGTAGTCATACATGAATTGCCTTAATTCTTTATTCGTATAAATGATATAATTGTTCAATAAATCTTCAAAAGGAACTAATGTACTTACATTTCATCAGTGTTTATAAGATTTGTGTAAATATAAACTATGCCATATTCTGTTATCATGTAGAGTTACAGTTACAATCAATGAAATGGTGATTAAAATATTATTTAAACCTGTTCATTAATCTTTGTGATTTGTAATAAATATTTTACTCTTATCATACTGTTACTTTCAATTTCTATATTTGCTATGAATAGGAAATTACCTACATCATGTGCATTGCAGAAACTATTAACCTAGTATAATGTATAATTATCGCACATCGCGTAATCATAACATGTCTATGTTTCATTCCAGTTGGTATTGAATAATCGGATTAGGAAATCGGTTTTGTATAGATGGATCTTTACGTTACGATGGAATCCAATCACCGTTGACGTCTAATTAGCGAAAACCTTCATCACCTTAGATTTAGATTGTTAAAGTGTACAGTCCTTCAAGTCCTTGTCCTTTTTGAAATCAATGTTATATTATTTTAAACAGGGCTCTGTGATATCTGGGCACGAACCTGTACTCGATGACGTCATTGCTTCATAAGAACGATCAATACGCGTCGAGAGCGCGAAAAGATCTCTCATTTAATTTTAAATTGCCCGAGCACAATTACGATTAATTATGAATAAATATACACAGATTTTACTTGAATGAGTGATACTATAGTACTGCAGCTAGTATCAAACTGTTGAATTATTCAAATGAAACTCCAACATAGCTGTTACGCGCAACAGGAAACGAATCTTAATTGAAAGAAAGAATAGAATTACTATCGAATTATTTATAAATTTTTCATAAATTATTTACAGTCAGAAAATTGTTTAACGAATTCATTCATTGAAGGTTTAGTATTAGTATTAAGAAAATTGTTAAATACAAGGGAAAACATTTGTATTCGATTGTGGGAGTAAAAATATAGATTATAAGTACATAAAATACTTTTTGTATGATGACCATAGCTTTAGCAATAAGTTTTCTGTAAAGTGTTTAATCTTCATAGGAAGTGTTATTACCATTGTATTATTTTTCGCAGAGATTATGAACGAGGTCATTAAACAAAAAAAGGCCTCGGGAACTGGTGTTCAATGGCGTATTTTGGTAGTAGACCAGCTTGCCATGCGGATGGTATCGGCATGCTGCAAGATGCACGATATCAGTGCCCAAGGCATCACTTTGGTAGAAGATATCAACAAGAAACGGGAACCACTGCCTACTATGGAAGCGATCTATCTGATCACGCCCTGCAATAATTCTGTGCAAAAACTAATTGAAGACTTCAGCAATCCGACACGGACCATTTATAAAGTCGCGCACGTTTATTTCACAGAAGGTACTATCGTACGTTTTGCGTTGTTCAGTATACATATTTGATAGAACAATTTATATATAACTTGTATCAGAAATCAGGATATTCTAGTTTCATATTACACCATAAATAACAATAAGACCTCATTTAATGTTTTGGGCGCCGTCACAATTTAAACCGAAGAACGAAATAATATCAATAATTCTTAGCATTTAACGACAAGCGTAAAGCATTATTAGGACTAAACAGAACATAAATACACCTGTTCATTGATTTAGGGGAAGGATACGTTCACATTCTTTTTGCCCATAGATCAATAATAAGTAAAATATATGACTATAAGAAGCAACACAACACGTATACGAGTATATTGGTCGACATTAAAAAACTCGAAAAAAAAATACCTAAATACATGATAAATGATGTAAATGCATAAGAAGTGCAATGAACTAAGAAATTGTTTGTCACTGGTATATAGTAATTTGCATAAATATAATTAAACGAGTACACCTTTTAATTGCATAAGTCGAAGAATGGTTGTGTAAGTAAAAATATAAATATAACTGAAATATTACTGAACTTCTGTTATAATTTTATATCTTAAACAATGATCCGAGAAGACGGCCATTTGACGTGATTACTGTTTTATCAACCAATGCAACGTTAAACGGGGTCTTGATTTAGTTTTACAATACTACATTATGTTTTCTTAGCGTAGACGTAAGAATTATCACTCCCGATTCTTCTTATTTTTCTTTCAAACAAATACACACTTAACCGACAGAATTTTTGGAAGTAATTAAAAACGATTGTACGAGAACGGACAGACTGGTACTTTTCTATTTTAATGATCTATGTAAGATTCTAAGTGTATCTGTTTACAGCTTGTCCTGAAGAGTTGTTCAAAGTATTGTGTCAATCGCTGGTAGCTAAACGCATAAAGACACTAAAAGAGCTCAACACCGCTTTCATACCATATGAAGAGCAGGTAAAGCAAAGGGAACTCTAACGAGAAAATAAAATGTCTGATCATTGTACGTTATTCGTGGTGGCGGGCACAGACAAAAACACACACACACACACACTCGACATACTATCTCCAACGTTGTGGCATTTTTTTTTGGACTCACGAGCCTAAATTTCAATCTTGCTCTACCAGCGACCGCGACAATGTTAACAAATCATTTTAACTCTTTTTCCCTGTCTTCATATTCTCCCTATTCTATAATGTGTTCACAAATAAGCACGTACTAACGACGGAATGCATTCATGCTTGTACGCGAACAGTGTGTCCGGAGGAGCTGTTCAATGAAATCTGCAAGTCTCTCGCCGCTAAAAAGATCAAAACCCTCAAAGAGATCAACATCGCTTTCCTGCCTTACGAGTCGCAGGTGACGATCAAAACAAGAAGAAACTTTATTTGCTAGATACGAACGCAAATAGCAACAATTGCTTACAATTTTCCAACTTTCGAATAACAAACTAGTTCACTAGTCCTTTTCAGTTCTTTAGTTTAAGAAGTAGAACGTAGGCGAAAGACTTCTATAAATACCTTACTGTATAACATACAAAGTCGTTTGATAAATAATATTTAGTTACTTATGATAAATATGTTAGGCGCCATATAGGTCTACTGGCATATAAAAAATACAATTCTTTGGCTCAACTTTAATGTAAAACAGAATTAATGATAACTTAAGCTATGAACAACTTACCGTAATTTCCTATAATTAAATATTACAATCCAGTCTTTTCATTAGTTTTTACAACGACATCAGAAACATAACAATTCAATTCTGAAATTACTTATCGAACGAACATCTATACGTCCATTCATAGTCAAAGTTTAGTTTCTTGCATGCATTTCTGTTATCCTAGTTTTGTTGAATATTTTCCATTATTTAATGCATGTATGTATTTCACTAATGATTGCACCGCTGAATATATCAAGTAAACAGTCGAGCCTAAGGTAATGTTTACAACGATGATATTGAATTCTATATGTAATTAAATAGGTGTTCTCTTTGGACTCGCGCGAAACGTTCGCTTGCTTTTACAACGCTTCTTTCGCCAACTTGAGAACTGCAAATATGGAGAGAATAGCCGAACAGATCGCGACCCTTTGCGCTACTCTTGGGGAATATCCGTCTGTCAGATACCGAAGGTACAGAAGAAAAAAATATTCACTTAAATTGTCCTTTGTAACCCAATCGATTGCACGGTGCTTTTCTATTCCAGTGACTTTGATCGAAACGTGGAACTGGCACACATGGTTCAACAGAAATTAGATGCTTACAAAGCGGATGAACCGACAATGGGAGAAGGGCCAGAGAAAGCTCGTTCTCAGTTGCTGATCTTAGATAGAGGATTTGATTGCGTTTCTCCACTGTTGCACGAGTTGACGCTGCAAGCTATGGCATATGATTTATTAGACATTGAAAACGATGTTTACAGGTAATTTAGTGTAACTTACACTAGGGGACGTTTGTGTAATATAACATTGTAACGCGAGAAATTCTTTTACAAGGTTCGAGGCGTCAGCTGGAGTGCAAAAGGAAGTATTATTAGACGAGAATGATGATTTGTGGGTAGAACTTAGACACCAGCACATTGCTGTAGTTTCACAGTACGTTCAAACAATTTGGAAATTAGTTTTAGGAAGCTCAGATTATGTGCAAACATGTAAACTTTCTTCGCCTGCAGGAATGTTACCAAAAACCTGAAAAAGTTCACCGAATCAAAAAGAATGCCCCAAGGAGACAAACAGAGCATGAGGGACCTTTCGCAGATGATCAAGAAAATGCCACAGTATCAGAAAGAGTTAAGCAAATATGCAACGCATTTACAATTAGCTGAAGACTGTATGAAACGTTATCAGGGGAGTGTGGATAAGCTTTGCAAAGTGGAACAAGTAAGCATTGTCTTTATGGCATTACTTGGTGTCACAAAACCATAAGAAATACAATTAAATGTAGCTTTTACGTGTTGCACTTACTAGGATTTAGCAATGGGTACAGATGCCGAAGGTGAACGTATCAAAGATCAAATGAAAAACATTACGCCAATTTTACTTGATCAAACTGTGCATCATTTAGACAAGCTACGAATTATCGCCTTATATGTTATTAGCAAAAATGGCATTACTGACGAAAACCTTAATCGTTTAGTTCATCACGCTCAAATATCAGTGGATGACAAGCAGACCATAGTAAACATGGCAAACCTGGGAATCAATATTGTCGTAGACGTAAGTACTTATTTAACTAATATAAACATATTATTTTTTTAATTTTCTCTATATATTTTCCTCTGTATTTTGATTTCCTCCTACAGGGTGGCAACCGTAAGAAATTGTATACCGTACAACGTAAAGAAAGAATTACGGAACAAACTTACCAAATGAGTCGTTGGACACCGATTATGAAAGACATTATGGAAGACGCCATTGAAGATAAGCTTGACTCTAAACATTTCCCATTCCTAGCAGGCCGTGCAGCCAGTTCGGGATATCATGCACCAACCAGGTATAACCGAATCTTATCTAAAACAAGGTACAACGTACCAGTATAGTTGCAACATTATATTGTTAAATATTTTCAGTGCACGATATGGACACTGGCATAAAGATAAGGGGCAACAAACCATTAAGAATGTACCACGCCTGATCGTCTTCGTCGTCGGTGGTGTTTGCTTCTCTGAAATACGATGCGCTTATGAAGTAACAAATACTTTGAAAAATTGGGAAGTGATAATGGGTATGTAAGCTATTTATAAACGATACTGCTTATTTATAAACAGGGTTCAAGATTCTTCATTTTTCTTTAGGCTCGTCGCATATAATCACGCCGAAATCCTTCCTGGACGATTTGAGTAAACTTCACGTGTAAAGACATTTTCATGTAGACAGATGAGAAACCACATTCCCATATTTCCTAATACGCCATTAGCTTTGGCTCCATCAGTAATACCAGCTACGAAACTCTGTGAATGATCTCTATTATACAATGAAAAATGTATTAAATAGGGAACACACAGTCAATTCTATAAGTTGCCCAGCCATTTAGCGACTACGTAAGAAATTGGAGAATGTCATATCATAAATATCAATTGACCGATACGTGAACGGCGTTAAAGTTGAAAAACAAATATTAAGTGCCTCCGCGTATAAAAAGTTAATAAGAAACGAAGAAACTAGTTGGCAATACTGATGTAGATCACACGGAAGTGCTTAATGGTAATTTAGGGTGGCGAATGATCTATATATGATACGTTACTCTGTGCCGGGCTGCCCTTTTGTTAATAATAAGGGGCTAGTTAGCAATGGAATTTGATGTTTTGTAGAAAAGAATCGTGATATTCATGTAAATTTCTCGTTATTAGCATTTCGTTATCTCCCGCTCCAAAAATTATTCATTGTTATACATTGTATCTTGAAGATTTACTCTTCGATTTTACTCACAGGATCAATAACGCTTATCGAGTTCGTGTAAAAGGTGTAAGTATCATGTGTAATACAATTATGTGCGCTTCAGCCGCATCAATTGTAAAATAGAAACACAATGTGAATATGAATATTTATTGTTCCCGATTCTATTTAAATATTTTTCTTGTATAATAAAACAATAAGTGTACATTAAATTATTTATCATAAGTTTGTTAAGTATTGATTTGTTGTCAAATATGTTCACTTAGCGTGCATGTATGCGAATTATAGTGCAGACAAGTCGCTTTTAATTTTATATAAAAGCGAGGCATTCAACATTCACCAAACAGATTGTCCAACTTCTAAAGACTCGTATGCCTGTTCAACTAAAAGTAATTGTCTTCACCTTATTGATAAGTACTTACATGTTGAAACTTCTACTGCATATAAGAAGCAATTATAAATCGCTTTCGGCCGGTGGAAGTGAATCCGTTAATTAATCATAATAATTATTGATGTGCGTTAATATTGCAATTACTTAGCTGCGAGATTATTACAAAGTTTACGGTATTGATTAATATATAATATATTATATGAATATATATGTATGTAGATTGTAGACTATTCAAAATGTTCTGCTTATAAAGGCCTACAATCGCTCCAATTATTGTGTTTTTTTAACGCATACGCCATACCACGCAATAAATATAATACTTTTACAAACAAGATATTATTCCAAATCCAGTTAAAAATTAAATCATTATTTACTGTGATTACAATATAACTACAAAGGTTATCGTTTATTAATGGTCATAAAGACAAAGTCTATATAATCAAATTCAACCGTCACTTTGCAAAGTAACGTTGGCATGCTTCTTTCAAATCAAAGCAACATAACTTATTTATTCGCCTTGAAATTGAACTAAAAAGAACTTTCTTCAGGATTTTGGTTCTCTCCTGAATGTGATTTTGTGCGGAACAGTATACTGTATTCTCAAAAATACGTGAATGGGGTAGTTCGATTGCAATTATATAAAGGAAATGGTGGGTGTAAATAAAAAAAAATAAATTTAATTTAAAATGGAGATTGCACTGCAACTAGAAAAAATTTGATCTTACAGTTTCTGTACTCAATCGAGACAGCGAAGCCTATTGTATAATGAAAGTCTGGTTTCATCGGATATCCAAGGTGGTTTGGATCCTGAAGACGCTGGCAGTTTTATTCGAACACAAGCTCACAGACTGAAAGAGTTTTATCGCTTCAAGAAGCAGTGCGATGTTTAAACTATGCTTAAAGTATATGTTAATGTAGATCGAAGCTATATAAGTCTCAATGAACGTATGTAAAATTACTGACAAAATAGCTAAATAAATAATTTTTTTAAATTTCATACATTGATTTTACTAAATTTTGATTTGATTCTAAATAAATTCTCAAGTAATTGGATTATTCTAAGACAGGATGTGGTCGCAATGAAAGAAAACTACCGGCAGATTTACTTTCAATTAGTTATTAATAATTAAACCTTAGAATAATTAGTATAATCGTAGATATCATAATAACGTGTAATATGCATTGTTTTCATCTGCATTAATAGTATACACAATGATGGTTCTTATTGTTTCTAATAGATTCGCAACATAAGAGAAAACCACAAATATGAGACAATAATGTTTCAGTTAGTATCTCTTTTTATCAATGACTATGCAATACTCTCTCATTCTATTACACATCCTTTCTGTCATTCTCTCACTCTCTGCGTTTCACTCTTTTATTTATATATTTATATATGTATATATATATTTATATCTTTATATATAACATGCAAAATTACAAACTAAGAAAGGTAATTCTGTATATACGTGTAATTAATAACTTGTAGTAACTTTTGTATTCACATTTACCTTGTAACTTTAATTCGAATACGTAATAAACATTTTTTTTCCATTCTCTTATATTAGGGACTAATAATAGTACAGATAACGTACTTCAATTTGACATTGTTAAGTAAATTGAGATTTGAATAAAAACATAGATACTTATTTATATATCCAGTCCATGCAATATATTTCACTGGATAGTGAAAATAGAAAATTTGATCACGATTTTTTTTTTACAACGGACTAACAAATTGTGTCCTGCTTAATAACTTCTTTTAAAAATATGTCATACGAAGGCTTAAAATTTGTTTTACGTATACGAAATGTGATTTACGTAGAAAAATTGTGTGCAAGGTTCGGTGATCATTTTTTTTTTTATTATTATTAGATTTCTCTTTAACTTGGACAAGAACACAGGAGAAAAATGTAAGGTATCGTTTGAACGAGTAAAATGGTGCGGTGGAAATCAAGGGTAAACGTGCGAACAAACGTTGGCCCAGTAAACGGTTCTCTCTTACTTAACAACATCAAGCATTTCTTTATTTTTAGCCATTTATTCTTCATTTCATTATTATTTATGTACAACCAGCTGAATGTCTCGCTATCGTTAGTCGTAATAAGTCTACTAAAACTCATGTGCCATTGGAGATGATGTGCGCCCGTGGGAACTTATATAAAAAATTATTTTTTGATACAGCGGAGTGATTTTGGTGTTACTTACGAATTATGTTCACGTCTTTACCTAGTAACTTACACTGAGATCTAGTAGGTTATACAATCTATCGGCCTCCCTTAAATATTACAAACCTTATCACATATATAGAGGTGTGTGTATTAGTACTTATTACTTTTTTTTATACATAGATATTCTGTATTCTGTTTAAATTGCTGCCAATGATTTCTTCTCGTATGTACAATTACAAACCACATATTATACAATCATAATACCTAAGCACATGCATTCTCCTTTCTCTCTCATCATTCTCACGTTCATTCCCCATTTTCCATTATATTTCTCTCTCTCTATCTCTCTCGATCTCTTCCCCAAACTCACTCTTCGTTTCTTTCATTTTTTTGTTCAATATTTTGTTTTTTTAATTTTAGAATTCGTGTCACTGTTGAGCTCGTTAAATTCTATGCGGCGCCATTTCTTTTCATTCGGATAAATTCTTTGAATGGGTTCGAAGACACTTGCGATTGGTCATTCTAACGGTACAATACAGAGGGACAAAACGAAATGACAATTCATGCATTTACAAAAAACTTACGGAATTTCTGTCACGAACTGAGAGGGGAAGGGGGTGAAAGTGTTTCAAATCCGCAACATTACCATGACACGAGAAATTAAATAATTAAACAGTTACTCATGAAGAATATAGTTATAAACATGGTCCGATCTTACACGAAAATGTCTTCTTTGTCGCTGAAAGTTCTTTTCCCCGTGAACAATCGGTTCGCCATGTTACGTAATAATTTCTGACAGAAGAAATCGATCATGCCCCTACAACGCAACGTTTTCGAGACGTTTCTTTCAACTCGTGGATACGCTTCTTCTGCTCCCGCTAATACATTTTTCTTGTCGTTTTACATGAATTCGTATTCTAAAGTAAACCGTGTATCGTGCCTCGAATATCAAATATATCGGATTTTTCGAATCATGTACATACGGCAACACACACGTTCCTAACAATCTTTTGTGTTTTTCGCTATCGACGATCCATACTCGTCAAAACCGAGATGATACAATGTTCTCATCGCGCCCGGGACGACAGAAGAACTTAATTCAACTTATTTTCTACGGGACGACGAAATCGATTACTCCTCGAAACAACACCGTTTCACACACCGAAAGAACACACACACACGCACACACTCTCTCTCTCTTTCTATTTTCCCCGATTTACACGAACGGAAAAAGCGACACACACGATCGATCGTTCCTCTCGTGCTTCCTTTCTCGGGTCTCTCGTATCGACGGGCCTCCCGTGTTCATTCTTCCACCGAGAGAGAAATCGTTCTACCACGCATTAAGTGCATACAACAACAATTAACATACGAATGACTAAATCATTGTACACGCTAAGCCACGTACCACCTGGCGACGCGGCGAAATAGATTGCTAACGGTCTCTAGAACCAAGATTCCTTGTAAAAAATCTTGAATTTTGATTTAACGAGCACCCGAGGAACCGCCGGTTTCTGTGTTCCCGGTGCATTAAATTAAAAACGACGGTAGAGATAGTCTAGTGTATTGCTAGAAGTAGTATCGACGATCACCGAGTGCGAGGATCGTACTGATATGAAAGCGCCACACAACACGCGAAACTAAGGAGTATTTCCCCCTCCTTGGATGAAGCGGTATTTTGATGCTCAGAGGTCACCGACAAAGTTTCTCTCCAATCATCTTCGATGCACTTGACGAAAACAGGATTGCGTATAAACGGCGGGTGACGATTCGTCCTAGTTCTTCTTTTTATCTTCAACTCCAGCGGGATGGTCTTTCCTGAATCCGATCCACAATGCGATCCTGTTTCCTCGCGGAGTATTCGGATCAGTCGCAAACTGAACTCACGATAAAACCTCCCTTTGATCGAAGAATATTTCGAACAACGATCATTCATAACATTCTTCTGTCCTCGATCGATAACGCTTCGCCACCCATGGAAACTCTTCGTTTCCTTTGTCGATCGCACATTATACATAACTAGAAACTCTACACACGCACACATACGATTACGTTACGCTAAACAACATGTGAACACTTAACGTGCCTCTTTTGTGTTTCGTTTTTGTTCCTCTATTATTCGATACACGCATTCCACGCTTTCCTGTTTCGGCGTTATTATACTGACACATCTTTCTTCGTATCCAAACTCCGATACAATGTTTTCGGAGGAAGCGCTCGAGGAACCTCATCGTCCGTATCGAACGAATACGATGCGACAGATTCGGGCCTGAACACGGGTCTAAGAAAATTCTCTCTGCGATACACTGTCAAACGTCACACACGGTGATCTTTCGGCGAGGGTATCGGCGTTTGAACGCGTGTGTCCGATCTGTTTCACGGAATTTAGCGATCTTTAGAATCTTTTTCGTGATTCTACAACAGTTTCTTGTTTCTTTGTTCCTCGTCAGTTGCGTTTACCGCGAACATATTCTTTTTGAACAGACGTTACGTGGCGGCGAAGAGAAGACCGAAAGATCGCGTCGAATCTTATAGAACACGTATGACTAACCAGAAATCTGTCGAAGCGATTTGATTGTAAGTCGGATATTCTTTATACTTTTCTTGGTTAACTATTCTGGCGACCTTTTTATTATCTTTCATTAAACATTGTGTAGTTCGCTCTGGTATAGAACACTCTGAACAGAAGAATATGTGTCCTATACGCCTCTAATTATTATGAACAGAATGATAACATTTTGCAATCAGCTAATTATTAGTAGGGCCAGTACTTTTAGAAATAAAGTTCATAATTTCAATCACTTCGACAAGAGGAATGCAGAAAACTTTTGATGACGATAGTAGTACTTGAGACAGATGCACGACTAGACGTAATTGATGCATGCTCTGGTGGAAAAGCAGTAGCATTGAAAATCTATGCGCCAGATTTGTCTTGATAGTCATTATGGAGCGACACAAGAATATGTCGATTACTTTTTACTGTGTAGCCAACACTTCATTGTTTTGATATCTAAAAATTACACGAAATCATATCTAGGCCTTTGACTTCTGATACCAAGTTACGCCTACCGTCATTAATATCTCCCCTTATCGGCTATACAGACATTATGAACTTCAAGGACGTTTACAAAAGTACTTCCACAACTATGAACGTCATTTAATTCCTTATAACCAGATCAATTCATGAATGTACAAGAATTACTGCGTGCTCTTCGGTTAAAATTACACCACAAGATTCAACGTGATTCTATCGTGTCTTTCCTGACGCAAAGTGCCAAAGATACCATCATGACAGTTCGCGTCGATGAAAACACAGAATAAATAAAATTAAACGCTACGCATTTACGATCCATCATCGATATCGCACACGATTTGTAGTTTTCTTTCTTTCTTTTTTGTTTAACAAAAACATCGTTCCTCTAGGATAAAACGATTTCGTTCTTAATAACCGTTTGAACATCGTGTATGTACCAGATAGTATTTCTTTTTTTTTTTTTTGTAGCTGTATGCATTAGATGTGGTATCGCGTTGAAAAGAACAATGTGCTCGTGACTCGCCTATGTTTTCGATTTAGACGAAAAGTAAAATCCCAGAAGAGAAGTCTGTCTTTAGCGCCGCAAACTATTCTCCTACCAACATAACACGTTCCTGCCATCGGAAACAAAATTGTCATTCTGCGATAAAGACATTTGCAGGTTTGAAGAGGCCCCTTAAAAAAAACTGCAGTTAACAAAATAATTTAATTAATAATGATAGTATTATTGACAATATACCTCTCAGAATAGTAACTTCCGTTTTGAGAAATGTTCGTGTACCGCCTATGACCACTATTGTCGTTAACTTCTATGAATTCAATTATTTAAAAACAAAAAGTGAATCCCAATGTAATAACAGTGAGTAGTAGTAGTAGTAGTAATAGTAGTAGTAGTAGTAGTAGTAGTAATAGTAGTAGTAGTAATAGTAGTAGTAGTAGAACGCAATATATGCAAACTTTAGTTAGCCCTCAAGTTCTTTTACGGTTAAATATTCTTTTTTGTACTTTTCTTCCGATCGAATATTACTTTTTCATTCAAGGCGTTAATTATTTGCAAAGCGATTTATTATTTTTAAATTTCAATCGCCCGTACCACGCCACACACGGGACGCCTTGAGATTTATTTTTTAATCAATTTTCTTCCTTGTTTTGTTATCGCCTTAATGAAATCCCCTTCCTTATTTTTTTTTCCTTTTTCTTTTTTTTTTTTTTTGATACCTTACTATGTCGAACAAATAAACATTATTCATTTTTAGACAACTTCTCCATTTAACGGGCCGATATCGTTGCACGTTTTCCTTTTCCACGATCCTAGAGCATACCAAAGTTTAGGTACATACGTCTGATCTGATCTAATGGTTGGTAGGATCGAAAACTACATCATTCTAAAATCACCTTACCATTATTCGTAATAATTGACGACTTTGTTCTAAGGTGAGTTTTACAAATATTCCTTTTGTTTTCTGTCTTTAAATTCATATCAGCCGATTGGCCCTCTCTGACTCCGTAAGTCTGATAACTGATAGTCATGCGCGGGCTATCGTGATGATCGATTACAATTAAATTCACCAATGTGTATGTTCGCATTAGGTATATTTTTCTTTATATTATTGACTTAACAAGCCTACCTATTTTGTGATTACAAATAGCATATATTCATAATCGAGAAAGAAATCTGCAATGAAATTATTAGTAATAGCTAATAATTATATGTATTATTGGCAGAAACATTGTCTATGTAATCCTACCAACGATTAATGACTGAATGTGGAAAAATATAAAACTTAACTAAATGTACACAACTTTTATACTCTGACCCACACTCACATACACGCGCGCGCGCACACACACACACACACACACACACACACACACACACACACACACTCTCTCTCTCTCTCTCTCTCTCTCTCTCTCTCTCTCTCTCTCTCTCTTTCGTGCGCCCTACATGCATTCATCAAATACACGCGGCGACATTCTCACGTTTTACTCTCTCTATCGCTCGATTCTTGCTTTCACTTATATTCTGCGTAATATTTTTTTCTTCTGTTTCCAAATTTACATAAAGTACAAACTTATGAAAACCGGAAAAATGTAACACAATTGTCAGTGTAGCATTTTCAAAGTGTCGTGTAAGTATTTTATCTAATTACATGGTCACACTTAGGTGTCCGTCGATTACACACAATTAGTTCTGCGTCATTTAATAAACTGTCTCTTTGAGTTGTCCGTGTTACCCGCGAACAATCATAATTAGGATTCTCCGTTGGAATGTCCCAACCCGCACCACCATTTTTTTTTTTTTAACTATTACACCGACTTCCTCTTACTTTATCGATTTATCGTTTGCTCTGTATTGTTCTTTTTTCTTTTAAATTATCGTTATTATTTATCGTTTCATTATTGACTGACGTATATATTAATACGTATTTTTTTCTGCGGTACCGTCCAGCGCCAAACATTCAGCCAAGTCCTGCCCGGTTTCAGTGGGTATATAAAGAGCAGCAAATAACATTATAACGATTCCTCAAACGCAGCCATCAAATCACTTTGCATGTTCATGTCTATATGCCCAGCCATCTGAAATAATAAATACATCCCATTCTTGGCAAGTCCGCCCACGAAAAGCTATAGTCCACCGAGAAAATTTACTCGCGACATATTATCTTTTAATACACGATGAAATGTTCTTTTTCTTTTTAATTTATAAGATTTCATGGTTAAAACTACAGCATTTATTTTCAATAATAATTTTATACCTCTGTAACGGTTTTTTTTTTTAATATCGACATAACATGTACAACACAATACGAGTACGAGTAACGTGTCGCAGTTGGAAAATGAAAAAAGAAAAAATGCTTGCGGAAAATAGAATTATATTGACACTTACCGCTTCGCGGCGCCGTCGTTCTTGCTCCCGTAGCCTCTGACGTTCTCTTTCAGCAGCCGCCTTGTCCTGACTGGATGAATGACTTGGACTACTGCTATCCGTATCGACAATGGCCTTGACCTCTTCTGCCCTCGATGTAGGAGTCATTACACTTCCCTGTTGGTCACCAACAGTTTTCCTAACTTTGTCTAGCGCGTCTTCTTCTTCTCGCTCTCTTCTTCTTTCGTTCTCTTGCCTCAAACGCTCCCTCTCCGCCTGTTCCTTCTGTTGTCTACGCATCTCTTGTTGTTCCAGTAGAGCCCTTTGCTGCAAAAAAACGAAGGTTCACAATCATTACCATGAATAATTGAAATATTAACCCTTTTAATACCGTAGGCCGATTCGATTCCTGTGCGAAGATTATTCGACGTCAGTGTTTAAATTTAATTTTTTTTCGATGCGCTTTTATTATTGTATAGCCCATTTTTCTAACAATTCAGGTCGTCTTATTTTAGGAGCAAGAAAGTGCATATAATACTAATAAAAGTAGCTATACTAACCCTATCTTGCTTTTCCTTGGCCTGCTTTTTGAATGCTTGAAATGAGTCCCTAGCAGCACTCTTCATGCTGCTTCCTGTGGCAGATTGCGGACTCGATGCTTGAGCCAGGGACGACCACGATGAGGCATTTTTCACATTCTGTTCTACAGTCTGTAGGAAGAAAATTAAATATTCGATAGTGAAATAATGGATGAATATTCTGAACAAAAGTATATTATTAGACTATAAAAAATACCCTTAATACTAAGAGTCAGAGGCATTAGAGTGAAACACTTATTTTCCCACCTTATTCTTAAAGGCTGATGCAAAATTCGCCGCAGGATTCTTTGAGTCTGGTGGCGTCATCTTCTTTTCAGGCATGAGCTGAGAACTCGAATGATTCCCCATTGGTGGCATTCCTAATGTACTCATTTCTGCAAAAAGAGCTCCGGCTAGAGCAACGGCATTACATGTTTGATTAGTAAGCAGTTAATATAGCCGTTTAGAATGTAAATAGTTCACAATGAAGAACTGTTGTTGTCTCTGTATTAGTAGAAATAATTCTTAATAAAGCCCCGATACGGATATTTAATGATATTTTTTGTGTTTTTGTTTTAGAAATTAAGAAATATTGCTTGATTGTTCACGAGTGGTGTAATAAAGTAGTCATTTTTTAACATTCTGTTATATACAATAGTTAGTATACTGTTCTAATACGTATATATAAAAGGTAAACAATTAAAGAGGAATGAAAGCATTCACGTAACATTAGGTGTGAACAACCTAAATGTAAAAATGAAAATGATAATTCACTGCAGGATTACATGGTGCTCTTTAAAATGCATGCTTTGAATTCAAGTCAACGTCAAACATACCATCCATAGGCTTTTGAGCCATTTGTGGTTGAGAAATAGGTAGCGGTTTCTCTTCTTTCTTTATTGGCATTTGAGATATTTGCATGGGCATAGAAACAATGGGCAAGGGGTCAAAAATTGAACTCATTCCGCCCATATTGATTCCCATGCTGACTCCAGGTATACCGTTGTTATTTAACATATTAGGCGGAGAATTCTCGCGCTTGATATTAGAAAATCCATTGGAATGCTGCTGCGACATTGCAACGTTATGTGAATTTTGTATACTGCTCAATGACGAAGTAGTATTTATCATACTCTCCAACTGATTGTGCATCGACATATGCGTCGCCAATCCTTGCGGCAAATTCATATTAAGATTCGCCATCGTTATGTTGCCCAAATTTAAATTAGCCATACTTGTGGGCATCATGTTTACTGGTGCTTTTACATCCGGCAGTAAATTCAAATTGGTATTATTTGTTGTCGTGTGTGGTGCTTGAATCATTGCTATGTGCGGTTCTTTTTTTATCGACATCGCTTGTTCCAATGATGTTTGCGTAGTAGGCACAGGAGCTGAAGAAGAAAAATCTTTCGTTGGAAAATACCCGTAAACGGTTCACCTACTTTTCACATTTACAACCATCTAGAAAACTATTCTTGTGCAATTCGTTGTGTGTAAAATGAATAAATTTTATTATTTATATACTGTAATGAAATATGTACCTAGAGTATTATACGGTTGCAAAAGGTCTGACGGCTGAGTTAAAGTTGTCCCGTCTGTCGGTACAGGCGTGTTTGCATTTGAAAAGGAACTAACGGATGTGGGTGGCTGTAGTGATTGCGACACAACCGGTGAAGCTACCATAGAGTTTGTGTTTGTGGGTGTAACACTTGGCGGTGGAGTTGGTACAGAGACCGATGGAGTTGGTGGATTAGAAGTGGTCGGTGGTGGAGTAGGTTTTTTTACAGGTGCAGCCGTAGCCATAGCTGTAGGCCGCGATGGTTGCGCAGGCATAGATGTGTGACTCGCTACAGGCATTCCTTGACCAGCTATAACGGCAGTTACTGCCGCAGACTGCTGATTGTTACCACCTAATATAAGTATCAACATAAAAATTAATAATTCGTATCTAGAAACGCATACAGATGTAATAACGTATCTTCGTTGAAAAAAAAGGAAACGGGTAATGCGACGTGCTTTCAACGTTATGTACGTCGCAGCTATGTGGAACTAAATGAACATTTAATGTATTATTTTATGAATATCTATGCCTAACAGTGTGACAGATATTGCATACCTAATTCAATATAGTTCTAAATTCCGGAATGTAACAATTTATGTGCGTGTAATGTAACTGACTATGTATGCAACAGACAGTAATTCAAATGTTAATATAATAAATTTAAGAAGAATTTACAGATTTTACACACCTTGTTCCGAAGATATATTGCTAGGCTGAGTTACAGCTGGTTTTGTTATTGGTCCCGTAGAATTTGTTGGGGGTTGACTGTTTATTAAAAGACCTCCGGTGTGATTCAAGGTAGTTGCCTGAAGAGTGTACTATTAGTTAATATAATGTGCATAATAACAATTCTTTTGTATTTGCCAGGAGGTTTACATTGTTTGTTAATTGGTTAATTCTTATGATATTAACACAGTATACCTTTAAATATAAGCAGATTGAAACCTTAATCATTGTGGCATAAAAAGAATCAATTGGAAGATTGTAACGCTAAGAATTTCAATTACAATAAGAAATATACAATGGATAGATATAATTGTTTTATATATTATACAATCGTTGTTGTTATTATGTCTTGCCCACAAAATATGATCTTACCGGTGTAACAGTAGTTGTTGTTGGGGGTGGCCCTGTGCTTGGTGCATTCTTCTTTGCTTTCTTTCTTGGAGAACGATTCGAAGAATTTCCTGTAATTCAATGTAACGTGCATCTAACTGTGAATATATGCATTCAACCAATTTCTCATTACAAGAGATAATTCGATGAAGACATAGTGAAATGCAGTGTGCAGAGGATACCAGCCATGAGTGTTGTGTTTGCCAAGATATAAACTAAATATTAAGTATATTAGAAAAAAAAAAAAATTAAAAAACTTCGAGCGTATATTTTCTAATAGATTTTATTCATATGCTTATATTATAATTGTATCACTGTGTACAACAATGTTAATTTAAATATCTCAATTGTATGCTTTTTTGTGGACTTTCATCTTAATGATTTTTATATTAAAAAATTTTAATGCGCAGAACAATTCATTCTTTTCTCATTCTACATAAAGTTAGTTGTATTCAATTCATTTATGAATAATTGCGTGTGCATATACATATATATAATATGTATATACATCATAAATACATACATACATACCACGCGCGCGAACATACATACACGCTCACGTGCTGCGAGACTACCGCGCATACATACATAACATTATATATGTATGCGAGAGCACGCACTTTTCTTTCTATAAGGATAATAATAATAATAATAATAATAATAATAATAATAGTAATAATAATAAGAATAATAATAATGATAATGATTATTACAATAATAATCGTGACAGTGACGAAAATGATGATTACAAAAAGGTTGACTACAAAAACCATCAAACTGCCTTTCTTTAATTTTCGTACAGAGTAATGTAATATAATATAATTAATGTAATATAATAATAGAATTAATGCAAATAAAAGTCACGTAAATAGTACAATATAGACTCAACTTAAACATGAATGATACAAGAGTGTCACACTCATACAAGTAGTTTGAAACGTAAATTCAAGTCGCAGTTAGCACAACACTGAGATCGGTGGCAAGATACTCCTGCTCGGTGTCTAAAGTATGAATTATATCAGTTACAAGAAGCAACTCTAATACTACATTCAACTTGATTCATGCCCGCAATGAATTCATGTTTGCAATGGAATGGTCAATAATAGATTAAAATTCATGAAATGTACAATACAAGACAAATTGTTTGCAAGAAGTAGCGAGAAGCTAAAAAATAAAAAATAATAAAAGAAAAAAAAGAAAGAAAGAAAAAACATCGAGTAGGAGTTCCAGCATATCTTAATTTATATAATATAGTTAACTGGACCACCAAATGAGCCAACCCCGACTCTAAACGACCTCAAAGAATTAATTTTCTGTTTACTTCACTCATCTAACCTTTGTATATGCATTTAAAAAAGTCTTCTGTGTGTCGCCTTCTTTTGTAACTTACATCTAATATTAATATTTTATGATATATTAGTTTTCACTATGTACAAAACGCGTATGCTTGTGTACTGTTGCTATGCAATTCGTAATACGCAGAAAACAGATGGAACGCTCACACAATTCTTAAGGGAAGAGATAATTAGTGATTTTAGATCAAAGGGAATCTGAAAGCATAACAGAATATGAAGTTCGTTAAATCTGCTTTTGCGTATGACGATCTAGAAGGAAGAATGATGTTCCAGTCTGGATAAAGATGCGAAAAAATTTAGACGCGTGCTTGTATATGGAATAAATGCTACAAAAATTTTGGAAGGCAATATTAATATTATTGTAAAATGCCCTATACCTTGTGTTACAAGCTAATGGTGATTGTATTAATAGATGCATAGTTTCTATCTAATTCAGCACACGCCATCAATTTAATCTCACATAGTCTAACTAATTATTTGGAAATTTTCTATTTACTTTCAGTATTTTGGAAAACATAAAATCATAGGATCATTCTGATCAACATTTTTCACCTACTTTAATACTTATAATTCCCTTCGAAATTAACGAACATTTTTCCGACCAATTGTAGCTTTATTCTGTTCTTTTCTTGTTTCAATAAAATTAATGGTAGTCAATAATTAATTTTTCTACTTCTTTTGCTGGAACAGTAAGTACGCTGCTGACTGTACGATTAATGATACCATTAAATTGTACTGAGTGTGAATTTGATCACTTTTTTTAATGTTCATATTATGCAACATCTTGAAGCATAAAGTGCTTTCAAAAGCACCTTAGAATCTTATATCAGTTACGTCCATAACTTCTTATGTATACACTTTGCTATATATAAGAACTAAATTTACATGATATTTCAACAAAAAACGCTATCATGGAGCAGACATTTACACATAGAAATATAAAAACAAAATATCACTAAAATTAACCTCATTCAAACTTGTATAAAAGATTTTCTAAAAATGTTTTAATAGGACGGGTTAAAATTAATATTACTTCAGACGCTTTTACCACATGAATACTTTGAATCAATAGTACGTATTTCCAAATTATATTGCTGAGAGAAAACCAGGTTCGTATTTAACAAATTTAATTAATCGTATAATATAATTTTTATAGCAAGGTATGTAAAACCACACTGACCTACATAATTCATTGACATAATGATATCGATTGAACAGAATCAAAATTCAGAAAACTTTTGTTCGAGTACTTCCAAAAATGAGAAAACTGACAATGGATACCAATGAAGAACTAGTGGTATATAGAATAATGAAACGACGATTCGCAAAGCTTAGCGGAGTGCAAACAATGTGTTTGGAGGCTAGGGTGCCTTATTCTATTGTAGACCATTTCCTCAACCTGCTCTCGTTCCTGTTTCTTCTACCATTCCCACTCTTCTTCTTCCTTTACTTACTACGAGTAATATGAAAAGTACACTTTTCTGTCTGTGTTATCTATACACTCCCCTTGCCGTTCTCTTTCTCTGATATGTTAACATAAACCTTGTATGCTCAAAGTCATTGACCTTACAAAAAATAAATGGAAATTGTTGATTGTATCACATATCACATTCTCCGCTCAATTTACGTCTGTATTGTAACAACTTTTACATCGACCCACATGCTTAGAGGAAGATTCAAGACGTCAGTTGAATTTCATCGCTTTATCTAAATAATACAGCATACTATTACACCGAAGCGTATTTATGAGGTGATAAATCTTAATAATTGACATTTTAAAGGAAGCACCACTTCTTTGGCTTTGTCGAACTAAATGTAATTATAAGAAATGGAAATAGTAATATGAGGTAATATCAGGTAAGAGCTTTTTAAGAAATATGTAAACTCTGAAATTGTTTGCGGAGACGATATTAACTCGAGAGTGTATCTAAATTAACTATTTTGACGCAAAAGCTGTGGATTACAATAACCTTAGACTGCTGATTTGCAAATCCAGCCACCAATACACATTGTCTGCATTTGTTTCCCGTGTGTATCATAATATATCACTGCCTAATTTGTTCCTCTCAAGTATTGACCATTAAGTCCACACAGTTCTAGTCTGTGGAAACAAATTATAGTGTCCAGGAGCCTAAACACAGTTCTCACGTCACTCAGGTAGTAAGTGTATATTCACACTTAATGTAATAATGACGCTTGTTAATATCACTGTACTATACTCTGATAAATGATACGACATGAATGAACCAATGCGAGGAAACAAACTTAATGATTTAAAAAACACAGTGATACAAGTAATGCTCTGCTTATCGATTAATGTAAATAAATATTAAGTTTGCAAGAGTTAATATATTGCATGATGTTGCTTGGGTTATGTAGGGCAAATATAATCGTCAGGAAAAGCTACAATGTATAAATCCAAGGTACTAACGTTTGACACTACAGTCCTTACTGTGCTGTGTACTTTTTATACACATTGACACAATTTCCTTAGATACTAAACGTGGAACCTTACCATTTTCTTTTTCTCAAGTGTCCGATCAGTTTCAAGGTATGCATATATGTACTTACATATTCAATACAACACAAGACTGCAGTGAAAAAATTCAGTAACCTTGAACAGCAAACTATACTTGACTTTCGAGCAACAGAATGTATTGTCAACACCGACAGGGCAAGAGAAAATATAAGTAATCATTTGTAATCAATAATATAATTTGTGAAACAAGCTGGCATGGCATATGGTATCCTCTAAACACAGTCTGCACTCCACTAGCTCACCTTTTTTTTCTTACCATTGCATATTGTCTTGTAAATTAACTAGAAATTTGTTAAACTGTGTCAAGTTTCAAATTCCGAATTTCAAAACACATTTAGAGATACTTTTGCTTCAAAAAGTACATGTAAACTCAAGCAAATGATGATTGTGTGTCCATCATCGATTGCAAAATTTTAAAATGAAACTTGACACGACATTTGTACTTGCATTAATATAACGCAGCACTTAAGCTACACGAATAACGCCGTCCTAATAAATACAATTAATAAGCAAGATTTAGCAGCTTAAGAAGATATTTGCGATGCATTTGTGCAGTCAAACCCCGTCTGAAAAATCTTTTTGTATCTAATTCACCACTTCATACATTGCATCTGTATTGTTGCACCGGTATTTTCGATTGTTTTAATTGGCAATACAAAATTGGTTAGGCACAGAGTTCATTTTATCTCTTCAATTTTAAGTTATCACCAAATCATGGGGTATCAAATTTTATCTGTTTATCAGTTTATGTAATATTTACTGTCTTCATGGTGTTTTTAAACACTTCCTATTAAGAATTTATTCAATCAGTTCAACATTCTTCCAATTGCTACTGCAATATACATGAAAAAAGGGATGTTCGAGACATTAAGAATTGACATTGAATAATATTATTACTAGTTTTTGTTCAACCATTTGGTCATTACATTTGCAGCATTTATTGGATTGTACTTGTATGGATATCTTCTGTTGCACGCAAATCCTTTGTTACATAAAACTATGTAATATTGAAGATTCTTAATTTTCAAACGAGAAATATAATAATGTAATTATGTAGCAACTGAAGATATACATAAACAAAAAAACATGCATAAACAGTAACATTCCTTCTACACAATGAAATAAAATCAAAATAGAACTAACTTTATTTTTCGTTTCTATATCACAAATACCCACATGAAATGGTGAATAACTTTATTTGAAATAACTAGAAAATTCACGTCTATGATTTTTACATTTTACTTAGAGTAACGGTTTCTTTTTGCTGTTTGAAATGAACACTCTGACCAGATAAATCAATGAATATACAAACGAAATTGTGAATTATGAAGATATTAAAAATAGAATTTATAAACCACTCTGTCATGTTACAAGAAGGAAGCAAAATGCAAAATGAAATAACATGTACTGAATGTTCTGTATTGTCTTTGTAATATCTTACAGCATAAACGTGAATAGAATTCTGTGCTCTATAGAATAAATAAGCAGTAACAAATTTCACGAAAGATTTTTACTAAGAATGTCTATTCCTCGAAAGAAAAACAGTCGCAAATAACCCCGTAATTTTAAATCTTACAGAAAAATTAGTTCATATTTTCATGAGAACTACTTATTTATAAGTAGTTCATTGTTCCCAAGTGAGGGTCTAATAGTAGCAACAGTTACATGAGGTTCATATCTAACCTGCTTCACTGTCGCTTGAATCACTGGAGCTCGAAGAAAGTGAACTACTGCTGGAGTCACTGTCACTGCTACTACTGCTTGATGCTGACAACCGTGAAGGCCCACTGGCACCTCCAGTTCCAACTACATCAACTGATTTACTACTGTCTTCTGTAAAAAGTATTTGAAAATAATTGTAAAATTTCATTCATCCAACAGTTGTGTACTCATTAGAATTTTTTAAAATTAAACTTACTATTTTATGGAATAGTTAAGTTACTAACCTTTCTTAGCAGTTTTCTTAACATTGCCTAACTGCCCTGTAACATCTTGTAACCTTTTTTCTAGCTCCTGTTTTTTCTCCGCCATTTGTTCATCCTTAGATTTACCACTAACTTTCTTATCTGTGAACATGTAAATTTCGAACATGTGAGAGATATGTACGAATCTACGTTTAACTATATTTTTTAAATTTCAAATATACTATTAAAATAATCAGTTTAATGTGTTCAAGCACATTTATTAAATAAACAGAATAAAATTTATTAATAACAGAATAAAGATTTTATTCAAAGGTGCTCTATACTTAAAATAAAACTGTCTCAAGAAGTACAATATTTAAGCATTATTTAAAATGAAAATTTTCATATTTAATGTATTTGTACTTCACTTTAAAATTACAAACTATTAGTATATACATTTTTTGTCTTTGTTGCTGAATAGTAGAATTTTATGCAAATATACAGTATGAAAGGTAACACAAAAAATCAAACGAGAATACTAAAATGGGACCAAAACTAAAGCTTACGTGGCTTTTTTCTGAGACACGAAGCGACGTAGCTTTCTAATTCCCTCAAAGTGGATGGTTTTAGCGTTTCAAAGTCAATTTCTATCTCGTCTGGATTTGAGTCCCTTAATGAAGGCTCTCGAGATTGTATTATATGTACGACTCGTCCTAATTTATCTCCTGTAACATAAATACAAGAGATACATGTTAAAAGTAAAACTAACTGAGTATGCATTCACGTTTCAGTAACGTAGATAATAAATTATAGCTTACCAGGTAATTTATTGATATCCAAGCTAAGTTGCCGCTTCTCATCATAAGACATTGGTTTAGCATTGTCTTCATCCTCCGAGTCAAATGTAATCGGAGGTGGTTGACTACTGGCACTCTTCTTTTTAGTTCCAGCGGATCTGCTGTTTGCTTTCGGCCTTTTATTTGCAGTATTAGCTGTTGCAGCTTTACCGGGTCCTCTTCCCTTCCCCTTTGGCTTAGCATTTGTCGCCGTTGGCAGATGATGACTCATACTTCCTGGCGCATGAGTTTTGTTAGGTCCTACTGTTATAGCTGAATGATGAAGATCACCACCCATACCACCAGGCATTTTCAAATCACCTGCCCCCATTGCAACACTCGCTATACTAGCACCAACACTGTCCGACACATTTGGAATTCCACCACTTGGTTTCATCAGCTCTTTCGCGGCACCAGTATGACTCGCGCCAAGGCTACTACTTTTATTGCTCATTGGCCTTGATTTTGTCTTTTCTGGTTTCTTCTTTTTACTCTTCTTTTTACCGCTTTCTTCTACAAGTATCCTCATTTGCTCTTGCATAGCTTTAAGCTACAGATATCATTAATTTTTCACGTTAAATATGTATACAATAGAACTGGTAATAAAGAAAATTTTAAAAAGGAACAATAATGTACCTCCTGCTGCAAAGCAACCAACTTTTGGGTACGTTCTTCGTCTGAATCGTCACTTTCAGAAGAACTTTCAGACCCCGAGCTACTGGCGCTACTACTGCTACCTTTCATGCCTACCATGCCTCCCATTGGTTCATCCGGAATTTTCGCATACCTGATTCATTAAAAATTTTATTTCGTGAAATAAGAAAGACGAAGCAGATAAGCTTTATCTTCGATGTTCGTGAAAACGAACCTCATTTCGAATACATCTTGAAGTTTCCTAGCCATTGCGACAACATCATGATCAGGAGGATTATATTTATAACAATTCGTAAATATGAGTCGTACATCACTAGCAAACTCTTGTGCTGTTTTATATTCACGGTTGTCCATCTTCGTCTATAAAGGAAGTAACACAAATGATAAAAGTTATTTACATAGTTACATACGAAAAACGGTATAAGTTTCAGTAAGACAGAAATGTCTTACTGGAAGTAAGACATTTCTGTCTTACTGAAAATTTTAGTAAGACAGAAAACTTAAAATTGTTACCTTCACGGTACCAAGATCCATTGGTTTCTTGATTATATCATGATAATCGTGAAGACCTAATAATTCTGCATCCACCGGTTTGTAGAAGGGCCACGCATAACCCTATATACCGACAAAACATAACTTACAAATACTGTCTCAATAATCGTATTATATTTCTTATATACGTCGTAACAATTACCGAATGCTTTTTCGAAAACAGTTCCTTCAAAATTTCATTGCAGGACTTCAAAGCTTCGGAAAGTTTTTCCTTCGACTTTCCCGTGGTATGCTGAGGCTGTAAAGGAATTACATCAATAGTAATAATTATGAAAAATTTGGAAACTACATTTTAAACGTCATAAATTAAAGAGAAAAAAAGAAGCAGTTCACAAAAGTATTTTAAATATTGCGACCTACATTGGATGATGCATTAAAAAAAAAAGCATACAGCAGTAATAAAAATATTAACAAGAAGGTGTTTCTTTACTTCTTAACAAAGTGTATTTAGACCACTTTTGAACGAAGCAGTGTCATACATTTAATATGATAAGACAGCACAAATGAAAGGAAGGAGCATGAAGGAGTAGTAATAAATGTACCTGTTGGGCCATTGCCCCAATCAGGGGCATGTTGGCCTGGAATGGCACTAAGCCGTCTTCCGCTTGCCTCGTTGGCTGAAACAGCCATGTTATAAACTCTTTGTTAATGTATTAATGGCTGATGTGATCATAACGTGCAAGGAATAAAAATTCTTAAACATTCACGATGCATATTAAAATTGATCTTTATATCTTGTAAACTGTTAGACCGTTCCTGTTATATACAAAATGATGATTCAAAGAATCTTAAATATTCTTTTTTATATATGAAAATGTACTAACTTTCCCTAGCAAATACTTTTTTAACTATAAAATGATTAAATGATGAACAGGTTGCACATGTTCAGTATGAAGATTGTATGGAAACACACAATGAATGTTTTAACATTTTCAAAAACCTAACACATAAGTAGCTGGTTGAATGTGAGAATGCTCATTTTTTTTTACCTTTTTTATTTGTCTGCCAGATTCTCGTCTTGTAGGTATTTTGGCATTTTTAGGATCCAGTTTATATAAAGGCTCAAAAGAATTTGCAGTAGGAGTTGTAGTATCAGCCTTTCTCTTCACTCCCTTTTTAACTTTTGCAGGTTGTGATGGAGGCATTACTGTAGGTGCAGTGGGAACTTGTGGAGGAGGGGGTACTGCAGAGGCTGCTTGCGGGTCCATTGCTGGTTGTGCATGGTAACCGCTAGTTGGAGGGACCACTTGTTGAGGCAAAGAATTGTGAGTTGCCATGGGAGTGACTCCCATGCTTGATGGAGGAGCAATAGTAGTCGTATTCGTGCTCCCAGGTACAGATGCAGGTGCTTGGGTGCCAAGTGGAGGCATGGGGATAACGCCTGTTGTTCCAGCAGACGTAGCTGAAGGCGTTAAGCTATTTGGTACACTGGAAGTAACTGCAGCTGCACCAGAAGAAGGTCGACCTCGACCTGTACCTCCTGCACCCCCTGCTACTCCGCCCACTGGTGCTCCAACCCTGCCAGCTTTCTTGCCTTTGGGTCCCTTCGAGACAGGAACTTCGAGTTCTACCTCGTCCTTTGGCATTTGTGCAACCTAGAATTTTGTTTCATTTTTATAATTTACTATTATGTGTTTCTAGCATACATGTAACCACATAACAGTAACTCGTATTTGCTTGCTTCAAATGAAATATTAACAAGGTTTTTCAAAACAACAGCTACCTTTGTAAGAAATAATTTTTCCAGGGCTTGTGCCATAACCACAACATCTTCCCCAGGTTTGTTGTAAACATAACAATTGGTGAACATTGTATTGAAATCTTGAATACATTCTTTCCCGCTCCAGTAATAAGTATTCTCTAATCTTTTTTTGATTGTGCCCAAATCCATTGGTTGTTTTATAAGTTTGTGGTAATCCTAATAAAAACATGGAAAGACGACCAATTAGTTATCATTTCACGATTAATTTGTTTCCTTGTATTTCCTCAGCTTTTAGTATAATGTGAACATACTGGTAAATTGAGTTTTTTGGCATCTACAGGTTGTTGAAAAGGCCACGCGAATTGATGCTTCCATACTGGTTTGAGCACACCTTTTTGTAGAAATTGTAGTTGATTGGTAACACGTCCTGGGCGATTAGGTGGTGGCACCACAGGTGGTTGGACTACACCATTCACCGGTTCTACTGGTGGTTCATCACGTGGTGGTGGTTCCTTTGCAGGAACCGCTGGTGTAGTCGATGTCTTACCAGGTGCACTTGTCTGCATTACCCAGTATTCATTTATAAATCTCATATCAATACAATTATTTATATAGTTAGTACTGTTACTACAGTTATTCTGCACGTTAAGTTCAAAATTCAAAATAGTATTTGTTTTTACAAAGCACAAAGTCAAACCACTACCTCTTTTTTTATATGAAATCAATGTACAAAATATTAAATTATACAATATTTTTGTCATGTAATTCATGCTTAAATGTTTTGTTATAGATTTAACGCTAATCGTACCACGGCCGGTCAAATGACCGGCTTTAAATATGGTACAAATAAGTATATAAAAGTCACGGTACAGTTAGTGTTAAATTAAAGTCTCATTTTTATAAGTGATAATAGTGTTATCGCTTTAGCAGAAATAAGTCCTACAAAATGTAACATAAGATACCTAGAATATAGCTCAGACAGAAAATTTATGATATTTATTTCATAGAAGTACACTACCATACAAATTGAAAGATTTTAGTAAGACTTCATGCACTACAAAATTAGATAAACCCATTCATGTAACGAGCAAATTAGGCTGCTAAATATTTAGATTCCATAACCACAGGCAAGCAATTTAGAAATTTTTAATTGTGAAAATACTTTCAACTGAAATGTAATGGCAACTCTAAGTCATTTCATACATCATGCAAATAAAATAAAACAAGAAAAATAAACAATACATAAAATAAAATAAAAAAACAATCCATCAAGAACTTAACATTGTATGAAACGACTTACAAGCTTAAGACATTTATACTTCATAACACATTGAAATATTTTGAGCAAGTATTTTGCTTCTAAAAAAGAAAAACAAAGCAAAAAGAAACAAAAATCATTAATTTAATTAATTTAAACACATTTATCTGAATTATTCCAATTTTTTTATTAGGTTTATATAAAATTTTATAAATATATAGAAGCAAAATTACAAGTTGCTCTCGATAGAAGTTTGGAGCTGCCATTTTATATTTTTATCATATATATCCTAGTTGAAACAGTACTCAACAAGGAATCTCACCTTCGGTATATTACACAGCCTTTCTCGCTCCTCCACATCTAACTGTAATTCATACATACCATTCAATCAAACAATGCTCAGTTTCATTACATTGAAAAAGAAATTGTGCTCAGCTTAATACCAGAAATAAGGACATACACAATAGTTGTTTCATGAATTCTGATTTTGTTCCGAATAGTATAGTTTAGCAGTAAGTAACAACCATGAAGTACATTATAGCATTGAAAGAATAAGTTCTAAACACAAATAATGTAACTAACTCAAAAAGCATAGAGGGTCATATTTTAACAGAAATTGTGCTTTTGAATGAGATTACATTTTCACTGAGAAGAATGTGTATATTAATACTGTGCAAGTTACTACAACATAAAATGTCTGTAGGAATAAATAATGGAATATTTTGAAGGTATAAACAACTTGAACTCAAAGAAATCGAAAAATAATGTGTCCCTATATGCTGTACAACATGTGTATCTGCTACATGAGACTCATACAAAGGAAAAATATTTATATGAATGCAGCTTTTATGTATAGCATTAGTAGATTAATAAGCAAGCTGCACTTAAAATTGTATCATAAAACTGTTTCTGTCACTCACCGAATTATTTTGCGAGATAGTATCCACCTGCTGCATCTTGGCTTCGTTTCTGCAACAGAAAAAAATAAACGTGTAAAGAAACTTTAGAAATCAAATACACAAAAAATAAAATAGCATTCATGATGGAATTTTTAATCACATATTTGGATAAACAAACACCTTAAATATAAAAAGTCACTTACATATAACCTGTCCTATATTAACACGATGATTATAAGCTTACAAATATACTGTACTTATAATTCTTCTCTTAGGATCAGTAATCAGTATTTCCTTCTCTTGAAATTTTGGGTTTTACTATATGAGAAATATCAATGTCCAACCGATATACAATCAAGCTTTGCTTACACATTTTATGAAATAACTAGGTTTATTGTATAATATAAGGCTCATCAAGTCCACGATAATGAGCTTCACCTACCTTTCCGACATATATGGTACATAAATGCTATGCAGCAGGTAACTGCCTTACGTTGATGCTTGACGCTATGAGGCTTCATCAACAATTGAGATGGCAAGGATATATTCTGAATTGAGCATGGTAGCTCACTAATTGCTTGCCAAGATGATTGCGCTGCAACCAGGGAGATTGGTGCCGTGGAGGCATAACACTACTCAAGCCTACCAAATGGTAGTACTTTGAATGTCAGCCCTGTACACTGCTGTGAGACTCCGTACCTCCAGCCAAGACTTGCGACATTAGCAACATCTGGATAACATAACAACAGGACCCCGTATTGTAACAACCCCAAATTGTTTTATTGCTTTAGAGCAAGTTAAACATTGATTTAGTCTCAAATTATGTATATATAAATATGTATATAAATATGTATATATATATATATTTATGTATATATATAAACATCTGTGTAAATTATTCAATATATCATGCAAAACTGAATCTATAAGATACATGCTTGACATACAGCAATTTTTTTTCCAATTTATTAAACACGAAATGACAATATATAATTGTTACCAAGTTGTTGACACGTTCAAATTGCTCTTCTAAATCCTTTTAGCAAATTGTTTAAGAAAATTTTATGACTGAAAAACTGTTTTATGAAACATAAATATTATGCATGTATCAATTTGATTACTTATTAACGTTTGAATATGTCTAAAAAGTGTTCTTTATATCAAATATAAATAGAGAAAGAAAGTTTTGCATTGACCATTTAAAGTGTAACAAAAGTAGCTAAGCTATAATTTTGTTGCCTATTATACAATATTTTATTACTAATGTTATATCTGTAATGTTATGAAGTGGTATAGAATAATCTGAGAAATATACACCCACAATAAATAGCACCTAGTACTTGCTTGCATGTCTTATTAAAAATGTACTGCTATATATTGCAACTGCAATGTTCCAACATTCTACTCCTTTAGAAAAATTATAAAATGTAATATTAACTTGCAAAAGAACAATGAGTTTTTCTCAACAAAGCCATATAATATTAGAAAGGTGTGTGTGAACAATAAGTATATGGTTACAAAAACTTTTAGAAATAGAAGGGTTCATTCATGAACAATGTGTTCAAAGTATAACACTTATGACCCATAGTGATATCTGAAAATGTGTACAAGAGTCAATGTGCATACCCTGTTATGTTCGAGGCCAGTGTAAGCCAAAATGGAAAGTTTGACAAAAGTAGCACAAATAACTGGTACACTGGTGTAGAAAGTGAGCTGACTATTAAAATACAAAATTGGCAATACACAGGAAAAAAACGATCTCGCGGATGACCATAAGATTTCGACATGGGAAGCAAGAGCTTCTAACGTGGTGAAGAAGAGCATTGCCAGAACAATCCATGCCGCGAAGACATTCTATTCGTAGAGGTCCGAGTATCAAGGGCAAAAGATAAGAGTATCGCGGGCTGAACAGGTGCTTGGTGGTTAAAAGTCGTCAAAGTAGGAACGGAGAAAGGTGAGATCCACGAGAGACGATGGGAGAGAAATAAACGCGGTAGATGCGAGAGTGGAAGAGGAGGAGGACAAGTAGGAGAGGATGGCAAGGGGAAGGGTAGCAGACCCGCGCCCAGCCGATGCACCCAGCCGACGCACACAACAAACACGAGCAAGCCGCCGTGTGAGAATCTAGTCGAGCGCTCGACTGGCGCCGAATTCGCAACGTTTCTCACATCGGACAATTCTGGCGCGCGCGGAATACACGAGCCGCCTTTTCGGTTACTCGATTTGGCGTAGGTTTCAACATGGCGGTATGGCCGCTCGGGAAAGAAAGCTCCCAAGGGCCCGCCGCTACAACCGCCACTTACGCACCACCACAGCACACACCACGCGCTATACTTATCAACAGACCCACAAAGTCTAAGATTAGTCGTAATCACTTACCTGATCAATGGAAGTCCACTGTTCCGAGGAATTCTATCGAAAAACACTACCACTACGTCTTGAACACTCGACTCGCACTACGCTTTCTCCCTGCTCGCTAGTTTGGTTGGTCGGTGTTATGGCCGCCGCCGAGTGTGCCCCACCGTATCACTCACTCACTCACTCTCACTCGTGCGAGCGTTCGGTTCGCATACGCGACGAACGCGGACGCGGCCCGACCAACTAGTTCCACACTTACGAATGCGGACGTCAATCTCTCGCACTAATATCGTATCAGTGCCTCGTGCCGAGCTCCACCGACATTTTCCTGGAGTCTCGTACAATCGGATGGCTTTCCGTGCCCATGACGATCTCGGATCTAGAAACTAACGATCGCAGCACCAACAATGGCTACGCATTCTTCCGCGACGTACCGAATGGTCCTGTTCCGTTGTTCCCTGAACACGACCTGTCTATCCATTCCCCTCGCTGGTCAGCCAACCCGAACTGCACCGAGCTCACCCGAACAAAGAAGCGCCAATTTTAAAAGCGTTTCATAAACTTCATGAAATTCTACATAATTTTTAATATATTACATGTATTATGTCATTGGGATAGCCACTTTTCCAATTTCTATGACAAGCAGTACTTTTTACGTATAGTATTCATAGGTGTAGTAGCTATGTAATCAGTAATTTATAATAGTTCACCCTATAGGTCTTAATTTTAAATATATATTACACACCGTTCATTTCAAAATAAATTTCACTTATAAGATTTTTCTACGAATAATTGTGACAGTGGTGAAATACAATGGATACAGGTAATAGGATATGTAATAATTACACCTTCTTATTTATAAAACGGGAATACATTTTATTACCAACACAAAAATTAATGGTTAATTTCCATCGTTCCATGTCCACCCATAATGCATTTGTAGATCACGAAAATAATGATCTATAAATATAAATATTAATAACCGGTAATTTCAGAACAGCCAAAATGAGATTTCAGAATAAAAACAGTTATTAATTTTCTTATTCGAAACGGAAGGTTAAAAATTATTAATCATCGCGCAAGTCTCGGTCCAATTCCGCGATTCTGTAACGACCTGCAATGCATTTTGGGATATCCGTAAAATCTATAATTACGTTTATCTTCACTATATTTCGTAAATTGTTAAAATGATAATGTAAATAGCGTAATAACGATAAACAAAAGTAACACGTGGTGAACATTGCACACGAGTACAATAAAAATTCCGTCATGACGTGTATGTTGTCATCACCAAAGCAAGTTCCGTTACACATCAAACATGGCGAAGCATGAATAATTGATCTTTTCGTTATAACATTTTGAGCAAAATGGAATCTAGGAATGTTAAATAAGAAAATTTCGGAAAGATAACCAACAACACATCTATATAAATAATCCCATTGACGTATATAATTCAGTCAATGACATAAAGTAAATGCTGACGCATCAGCAGTAGTACAAACTCGTGACCATGACTACGGTAGTCAATTTTGAAATTTTAGAATTTCTCACTTCTAACACTAATAATTTTTTTGTTAGAAAAACACGATACAAAAGAATTACTATTTCAATTGAAATTACAAATCGTAAGAAATTTTCATCATGCACATTGAGGCAATCAACAATGGCACTGAATCACAAAATGGCGTCTCTTTGATGAGTATAGAATCACTTTCCAATGGTTCACACCTATTACTAGAATCACTCAGAATGTTGGTATCAAATCACAGAAGTAATAGCTCTCAAAATTTAAACAGCAACAAAATTGTATCTTTGTGGAACAGATCACATAAAAATAAAAGAACGTACTGAATACTTGGCATTGACAACCATTTTTACGTTGATGACGTAACGAAATACGAAAGTCAAAAAAGAAACTAGACATTGAGATTTCGTCGGCGCAATGTTAGCATCCTTCCGGTCGCCATTACGTCTACCGCGTTCTGAATAGCGATTGGTGGGTGAACGTAGAGCCTTTGCTCTCGACCAATCGTTTGGAAACCAATATTGATGAGTCATTATGTTGAGGATTTTCCACCGAGTATTGCGCAATAGTAATTTCGTCTTCCTCTATGAGAAAATATTTGAATGAACACATTCATGAAAGCATGTCACAACTTAATCAATGAATGTATATAGTTTATTATATTTTAGTGTTACCATAATTTGATAAATTATTACATTCGTATTAAAATTGAAAAATATTTTTTCTTTATTGCTTTATTTATTATTTTACATGTTTATTATGGTCTGAGTTATATGTGTCTTATCTTGTACCTTCATATGACCTGAATAAAAATTCACGGAACTTTCATTATACACTAAAACGATATTTTGCTCATTTCTATATTTTTAAAACAATTATATCAGTAAACTACTTAAAAATTAATTACTGAATATACTAATTTTACGTTTGTCCCCAATTGGTGGTATAGGATCGAACCGCCAAATAGGAAAATTCAAAATAACGGGCAGAAATAACGTATTAACAAAATTATTTAACTGTATATGAAAATAAATATAAAATATGCAAGTTACAGACATAATATATGTAGTCAATGTTTATTCATACTATTCCCCAAACTTCTTCAAATGCACTACACAATTTACTGACGGTCAAAGCTCCAGATAATGGATAATTACTAATAGATATTGTATCTTCTGTATAATCTGGATTCACCTATAATTTCATATTGCAGAAAAGTATAATTCACAAAAATACTTCATAGTTGCAAAACATGTATATATGCAAGTATCTGATACGTACTTGTCCATGTGCCATTGCACCTACTACAATAGCAATTGGTTCATCAGAAGGAACTAATTCTCGTGGGTTTTGCACATCATTTGCACTAAATGACATTGCTATTTTACGACAACCAACTGGCAAATGATTTGTGACTGGATTTTTAATTACTTTTAAAAGTTTCATTGGTCCATCAGATGCACGAACACTAAATTTATGTAATAACTGCACTGTAAAGCACAAGAGTAACATAAATGAATTTGATAAAGAACATAATAAAGAATAATACATACATTATTCTTTCTTACCCATAAGACCAGCAAATCGTTTAAACGTCCTTGGAATCCTAGTTTGTGGATTCACTTCTATTAACACATTTTTTTCTGTTCGAATATAAACTTGTAACAAGCCAGCTCTATTCAAGGGACTATCCATTAACATCAATAAACATTGATGAGTTATATCTGGTCTGCATGAACCAGGTTCCCGATTATTTCTCTTTAAAATACTTATATGGTCATCACAATTTAATAATTCAAAACTATTTCCCACCTAATAATTAACGAAACAGAATGATATATAAGGATTATGATTACAAACTATAAAAGCATCAAACAATTCTCTTATGGCATATTTATCTGCATATGCTCAAGTAAAATAAATATGCATAAGCACTGACACTGAACAAATTAAAAGTTACAACTCTTATACATGTAAGGAAAAATAAACACTTGTTAATGAAAAAAATTTAAATACTTAATATTATACAAATACAGTTATAATTCACAAATTCACTTTTGATGTTTACGTTTGTTTAACACATGTATGAGAATGTAAATGTACTTTCGCATTGGAATTCTCAATCTTTTTAAAGTTTTTATCATGACCATATGTTTTATTATATTCACAGTAATATAATAAATGTACCAAAGGAGACAAAAGTGTGTCATATATAATGTAGAATAAAAACTATACTGTAAAATTGTTAATAAAATATAATATCACCTTCACAGATTCTAACTGAGCTTTCTCCAGAATAATAATTAAACGTTTTTCTTGCTTTTTTATATGGGCTACCTGAAGATGTTTAGGATGTGGATCGTATTCAAAATCGTCCTTTTCATGACGGTGCTTACGTTTTGTTCCCATACTTTATGCGTTAATTGAAATATTATAAACATTAATGATTGTAAATATTCAACAATGAGTAGAGCACATGGCAAGGCTTTCAGAAACAAAACATTTCTGAGATGTCATCTAGTGGGAGCTGCAGTAATAAGTTATCTAGTTAACAAAGAATTTATTCACCTGTAGAGGACAGCACTGATAGCTCCACCGACTAGCTATAGATAGACCTATCATCTTATAGAACTCGTGTTTCATGTATCACCCCGTGTGTACGAAAAGTGGGGTCATAGAACCCCAGGTGGAGGCGCCAGAGACCCGGTGTAGTGAGAACGTGGTGTCACAGAACCCCCGCAGGTGGCGCCAGATACCCCGTGTGGAAAGAATGTGGTGTCACAGAACCCCCGCAGGTGGCGCCAGAGACCCCGTGTGGTGAGAAAGTGGGGCCACAGAACCCCCGCTGAAGGCGCCAGATACCCTGGCTGGTGAGAGCGTGGGTTCACAGAACCCCCAAGTGGAGGCGCCAGAGACCCCGTGAGTGTGAGGAAGTGGGGTCATAAAACCCACGGAGCATGCGCAAGAGTTTTGAAACGTGATCTTTCATCGCTGTTCCTTGTACGAGTCTCGAGCTCGGTCTAATGTTGCTCGTGCAACTGTTGAAATTTGACTGACACTTGTGCATGCTTCCCGTGAGCAAATTATATAGTAACCCCCAGCAACCATGGTAGTTTCTGCAGATACTACTACAGCCCAAGTTTAAAAGACGTAGGCAGTAGTTAGTTTCTGTAGTAACCTGTTGAACCAGACAACTATAATTAGTATAGGATTGTACAATATTTATGCACTTATATTTAAGTCAATTCGATGAAATGAAACTTATATTACCTGACGTATCTTTATTGGAATATACATATATACATATAAATTATAATTATATAAAAGTTTGAAATACAATACGATGCGCTATGGTACAATACGTCTATTCGATTCAATTGCTCCTGTTCGGCGCAGTGCGCTAATACGGAGGCCAACGATATATCATTGTAACACTTAAAAAAGTTTTAAAGTTCCATTTATATCATTGTCCTGTGAAAATGTTCATACTTCCAGCAGCATTCATATTCCAATCAAAGAATTTACAGAATAAGGAAAAGGAATCTAAAGTAATTTTCAGTAGTTCCATACATCTTTATCTCGAATAATTTTCTAAAACATTCAAAGTACTAGACATTTGTACACTTTGAATTTCATATCGATTTCTAAAATAATCCTAGTTCGATGTAATATAGAACTTGGTTTTATGAAATAGATTAGAAGTTCGCAGCCATTGGCTCGATATTGTCTTCAGTTTATAATACTTTACCGATGACAATACCGATTGCCCAGGCCTCACCACGAGGAGGTTGCTGCGAGTGGAGGCCCAAGGCAGATAGATGGAATCACAAGTTCTACATCTACCCACCTTTCACGGCATAACTGATAAAAAAGAACCATGTTCAAAGATCTGTATTTTGTAGAGGAAACTTTAAAGAAGGTGGCTATATTCTGTTCAAATTTTTAACCGTTCGTCTTCGATATCTAGTTTTCAAAATTCAAATATCTTGATTTTTTAGTCCTAGATTCTTAGAAACAACTAATTATAACCTTCATTAATTTATTACTCTTGGGGGGGTGGAGGGGGGACAGAAAATTACATTGCATGTTAGGTCTATTCTTATACCTCGTCTGTGTACCTCGTCTGTGGTAGCACAAAATCTCTGTTGTTTGGGCGGTCGGTATTTCAGAACATAGGACCCGAAGCACAGACACCGAAAAATAGTTAGCGCCACCGAGGAATAGTTGGCATGGAATATAGTAGGCGAAAATTTATTGCAGGCTATTTTATTGCAGCATGGGACGCCCTTCGCTCACACGTATTTTTCACACACGTGTGCACACCTCACTCTATCGTCCAGCACATTATTTGTTGCAATCACTAACCCGTGCTTTTCTACACTTTTATACATAAATAAGATAAATAAGCAAATTTAGTTATGTACACATCTCGTCTGTGTTTTGTCTGGATGGTATTTTATTTACAAATGTGTCATAGCATCTCGTATAGATGGCAGCACGCATTCTGATAAGTTGCTAAATGTAAATAGTTTGCTGACCTGATGTCAATGAAGCTTCGTGGTTCTAGAGTTTTGTTGTGTAAATATTTTCAAATTTGCAAACCTTTTTCACTTTAATACGATATGAGACCATTTTAAGAATAAGATTTAATATATTTTGATCGTGAAGTTCTAAATACAATGTAGAATATTAGAATATACATAGTATGTATACGCGAATATGTATTATATAATACATCTCAAATAAGCTAAATTAAGTGTTAACATGGTCGCGCAATAATTATTAACTTTAATTTCTGTCTCACTACTTAAATTATGAAGATTAAAATTAAAACGAAAAAATCATCTTCTGAATGCGAATCCTTTTCTACGACTTTTAATATCGACTAATTGTTGTGCCTGCTTCTTCACAGCATTTCTAGACGGTACGTCCTCTTCATCTTCCGATGGGGCGGCGGCTGGTGTTGCTGATGATGGAAATCGTGAAAAAAGTTGTCCTTCGGTTGTACGTGTTGCTTTTCCCTCTGCTGATGTAGTTGCAGTTGATACTGTTTCCAGCTAAATAAGTACAATTTTAATGCATTTTTTCCATGTAGGTATGCAAACTTATATAAAATACATAAAAAATAGTTTATGTATTACTGTTGTCGCCTACTCGCGACAAGCTCGCGATTTGTCACTACTCGTTAATAAATTATGTAATTTCGCGAAGCTCGTTGGTAGATGGTATGAATCATGATGCTGATGTTATGTGATTTTGAGTAAATAACACAACTTGGTAACACACTTAAACTTTAATAAATGTAACAAATGTGATGAATGTGTATATCTGTGTTCTATGTGTTTGTGTTTTCTTTGAATGATAGATGTTTTTTCTTTGACGGTTGAATGTGTTCTGTCTGGTATTTGTATGGTGGTGAAACTGAAGAATTTTGGTTAGTGTATGCTGTGTGGGTGTGGTTGTATGCGGTAGAAAAAAGTAGGGCTTGGTATATGTATTGTTTTCTGGGATTCCTGGAAGTCACTGTTGAAATGCAATAAATAACTGTTCTTAAGGACAGCGAATATTTTGCTCGTGATGTGTCGCTGTCTAGTAATCCACCAATTGTGACTGTCGCCTATCTGATTAAGTAACTTGATTTAAAAACAATATCTTCGTAATAAGTTTATTTTAAAAATAAATTTTGTAAAGTTTTAAGTCATTAAAAAGTTGGTATCATCCTTTTGTGTGATTATTACACATTTTTGGGATATCTTTTCTGCACGTCTGTAACTAGTTGGCAGCCATTTTGTGGAGCGCCTACGCTGTCGGTAAAGTCGGAGACTACTTGAATCTGTTTTTTTAAATTTTCCTTAAAAGTAGGGATTTTGTATGTGTGAAATCACAATATTTATAAGTTAATGTCCCTTGGCTTTCAGTTTTGTTCGATGTAATGTACATTACATTAGTAGGAATGCAGTATCGCATTGTCAAAGACAATTAGTGTCGAGAATAAGCCGAAAAGTTAATGAAGTTTCTATAAGTGAAGGAAAATTGTATATGAAAGCTTAGTTAATGTGATATACATATATTCATATCGATAAGGATTTTAAAACTTCCGTTTTAAAAAAGTATCAATTGTTCGAAATCAACAATTTAGAGGGTAGATACGAATACTAATTCTATGACTCATTATATATTTGAGGATATATGTATATCAAACTGTTTTATTAAAAAATTTATCATTGTACATACTCAAACCATCATATTACTCTGGATAGGTACCGTACTAATAAAGTCTGTGATAACACATTGGAATTTACCTTATCAACAATCATTTCGTTCAGAACTTCAAGATACTTATCCGGACCGCCCAAATGTTCAATTACAGTGTCCACTTTCCCGTTTATTATTTCTATAAGATGCAGAGGACTCGGAATTTCTTCTTGGTCGTTGGGCAGCGTTTCAAGTATGTCCTGTGAAAAATTTGCTTAGTATTAAAATTCATTTGGAAACACTTGTATTCGATTAAAGCATAATAGTTAATGCACAACTAAGAAAAGATACCAATTTATCAAATTTCTAGTATTTTTTATTATTAGTTTCACTCGGTTGTTGCAATAGGGTAGGCTACAAAAGCGATATTATAATTGTATTGTGCAGTGTACCTATGCTAACAAAGTCGTAGAAGTAGTGTATAATGTTTGTATGTAATTCGTATGAAACGAGACATTTTCTTCTCTGATTACAACTATTGTAATATTTACGAATGATACTGGACGTATTCAAATACACCCTAATACGAATAGTATTAGGTAGGTACACTTTAATAATCAATGATTTGCAATATTAAAGATGAACTTATATACTTATGATGTAATTGGTTGGAAATCAAGTGACCATAATCAGGATCTCACAAACTCCATTCGGCAATGAACGTGTTAAAGGAAAGAAGAAAAGGAATGATTAAAGCTTTATTAACTTCCTGGAGAGAAGTGGTTCCCAACGGTTAAATCTCGTGTCTTGCCGAGTGTCGAATTCTTTTAACAAAATTCTTTTCTGTTCACGGTGTTTATAGACACCTATCAGCGAAGTGAAAGAAGAAATAGAAAAAAGCGTATAGCGAGTTAACGAGTTGGGGTTACGTGTACGGATTCTAGGGATCGATTGAATCAATAATTGATATTCTCGCGCTAGTACGTGCTACCGAAGTGTTTACTTTCGATCAGGTCTGGGAGGTGCTAATTCGTAGGACAGCGGCTTCTTAAGGTGAGAATTACAGGCAGAGATCGTTGAATGAAATTCATTGGTTGATGGCGAGCGAATAGGATGCCTGTCAGGGGTGTTAAATCCCCAGAGACAACATAGTCGGTATAAAAACTCGAAGTGGTTCCATTATGGCAGGCGCCATTGGGAGACGGCTTCACTAATTTAATTAGGGATCTACATGGCATTTCCATCGGCCATTTTAACATGACACGGACCGATGGGATTTAGTTTGGGTGGATTCCTTGCCTTGAGAAGTGTTAATTCACCGCCATATCTTTCGGGTTTATTGAACAAACGTATATGTTAATTGAAAACTCTCGTTACAACAAAAGCTAATTAAGAGCTACTCCATCAGGCGTCATTGAGGTTTCTCTTTCTTCTTTTGTCTACAAAAAAAAAATTTGATCTATGCAATTTTGTAAGTAAATCCTATGGAACATTTTATGCAAAATTTTAGTAACAAATTGGTGAAATTTTATGCAAAAGATATCAGGCTATCGGGAAGATGGAACACTGCCATAGAGAAGAATATGCAATACAAGCAACAACTTTTTCCCCTATAGAGTATGTCAAAGAAAATGCCCCCTGCCTCTGGTTACGCCCATGGCAACAGTTCCAGGGCAATTTGTTACATATTTTAAATAGATAAAGCTTTGTACAGCTCTTTTTTACCATACTATCGTAAATGTTCTAAAGCTTGTGCGGCCTATTAAAAAAGGAAGCATAGTACGACAGAAGTCTCGCTCAGGTTTAATAACAATTGCTACTGTATTCATGTAATAATATATTACTTGAAATAATTTCGGACCTGGAATTTCTCACACAGGATCCATAAGGTTGTGCTGATCTCTTGTAGCAGGTCTTCGAGCTTCCTCGTTTCCCCTTCAGCTTTGGATTGGCGCATTCGTTGTTCATCGATTTGATTATTCAGTTTCTCCACATCTTCCGCGTTCCTGTAGCATATTACATATTACGGAATCTAGAAAATGCTCGAGATTCTTGACAGACCACAGTAAGGTGAAGGACACTGACTGTTCTGCGTTCTTCGTTTCAGAGAATTTTCTGGTCTCCATCTCGGCGATAAACTCCTGCCTCTGCTTTTCTAAGGTCATTTTCTCCTGCTCCGCGGCCACCCGCATTTTCTGTAGATTATCCTTGGTCGCCCGCTGACCCAGAAACCGGTTCAGAACGTCCTCGGACCTGGACACTCCGGCGGCGCTGCGGAGCTTGGCGAACGCCTCTTCCAGTCGTGTCACCTCGTCCTTGGTAATGTCCTCTGTGGCCTGCACACGGCTTTTCCCACGTGTGTCGAAATCATCGCGTAGACGCGAATGGAATACCATCTTTTCCAGCCGTTCGAGCTCCAATTTTCGTTCTAATACGCGTTGCCTGGTTGAACAGAGGCAGTTCAAACACGCGTGACATTCCTTTTTCTAATTTTTGTTCGTCGAGTGTTGCAATAAATTGATAGAAGGTTACATTTCTACACGATTTACATTGGCAGTAATTCGTGTTTATTAGATAGAAAGTCTCAGAAAATATGACGAATCTTTTACTGTCTTTGTGCAATGTAGGTGGCGTAGACCTAGACAAATTGTTTGTTTGAAAATTGAAATAAATTTTTATGAAACTTGTGGTATAATATTTTCCGAGACAACCTATTTGGTAATACATTATTATTGATTTCCATGTATTCATTTATATTTTATACGATATTGTCATTTATATGAACCTGTAATCTTCAAGAACAGAATTTCGCTCCTTGCTGCAGTTCGTAACTTCAATTTCTTCTTTGATCAGCGTTTCCTGCGTGTTGTTCCTCAACTGAATGGCTTCTTCCTTCACTGACTGCACATGAAAATATATTTACGTCTATTTTTTAGATGATTTTAAACGCATCGAGAGGTGAAATTTTAGAGATTAACTTCGTGCCTTGCCTGTAGACGTTTCACTTCGTTCTCTTGTTCCCGTATTTCATCCTCTAGACTCTTCAAAGAAGAAGCGTACGACACAGACTTCTCTTTCAAATCCGAGCGCATCGAACGATATTTCATTCGCGTTAAATTCGCTTTTATTTGCTTCATTCGAATATGTTCCAACTGTACCTCCAATTTCACGATTTTCTATAAAAGTTCAGACGCTTAAGTAGCCGTAATGGTTGCAACAACATTCTTCTCACCGTTTCAACTCACGTTTCTCAACGGGTTATCCATCTTTTTCTTGAAGAGTTTTTGCATTTTATCGTTCACTAATTGGTCATATTCCTCCAACAGGGATCTTAATTTCTGCTGTCGCTAAGGGATATTTATGCTGGAATATAGTTACACAGTCGCACGAAAAATCTTCATCGGGTGATCGGTATCGCGTCGGCTTACCTTCTCGCACTGATATTTAATTAGATCGTGCCTCTTTCTCAAGCGTACATTGTCCTCCTGCGCTTTAGCAATTGTCTCGCTTAAATTACGTTTTTTCCCATCAGCCGAGGACTCGCGACTCATGTGAACTACCTTCAGCGATTTTCCCTCGTTCTGAAACGTATCGTGCAAAATTCAATTTCTCGCCAGGTAGAGATTTTCAAGTTTCTGCAATTACGTTTCTCGTTCTCGCGTACTCCGTGTACAACTCTTTGACGCTCTGCTTGAGAGTCGTGATTTTCTCCGCGTATTCATACTTTCTCGCCTCGTACTCCTCGAAATTCGCTTTCCTTTGTCCCTCTGCGAAGAAACGATACGTTTTTGATTATTAACACGTCTGAGATCGTGTACGAAGTACGAGTAACTGTTCATGTCTATTCTCTAGATGGGATTTACGTAAATAAGGAATGTCGTTTCACACCAAGATGCAACTCTATTGGTTAATATGGTAGGAAAAGGACTCGTGAATCTCTGATCAACTGTAGGCTCTTGTAAGTTATGTACGCCCGAAAATATGCAGAAATTGTTGAACAAATTTTCGAAGGAACGAGAAAGAACATAATTTTCCAATTCTTTATAAATTTGGAGGAAGTCGGTATTCTTTACTATTTGGTTCTGCGTTGGCACAGTCAGCAAATTCAATCAAATATACGAAGATTTAAATTATCATTGTCATTATTACCGTCCTTAACAAATGTTTTCGATAGTTGTAGAAGAAAACTGGATTTTTGATAGTTTTAGGAATCTAATGTATTTTGAATGGTTTTTATTGGTAGGTTTGGCAGATAGTTATAGAGACAAATAGATGAAAACACAGTTTCAAAATATACCAATATAATTGATTGTAATTTCTTTATAGTATAAATTAAAAAAAGAATATAATTGTTAAGCTTACAGAAAATAAGGTCGGCCAGCTTTACGTTTAAAAAGCTTAATTTAGCCAAGAAACACGGATAAAAGTATTTTTCATAATAATAGCCGAAGGATAATAGAAATACATGTCGTGACTGCAGACATGGTTGCGATGAATCGAGCCCCGTGGCCATGATAATCATATTTTACATGAATATTTCAAAAAAATTCAATTGCCTAGATTACTTAAATTGATGTCACGATTTTCTTCAAAAGACTAGATCGTTTAAGGAAATTTACTAATACCAGGTTGCTGATGTCCTTTCAGGCGATGACAAGAATGGGGACATAGGAGGATAGTCGCGATGCCCCTTGAGTGACCAACTTGAGGGAGATAACCTCTACTTAGAGAATTTGTTATGGTCCTTACGATATACATTTACCGCATATTGTCACGGGTATAAAAAATTAAATTAAATATAAGAAAATATTAACAAGGTTTTAAATATTTTAATACAAGTAACCACTATTATTGGTTCCACACAACTATTTTTATAGTTTATTTGACATCCCGGTGTACCTAACTTCCTATTCATTGAAATTTATACTGTAAGAAAGAAGTTTTAGAAATATTTTTCTGTTTGTTGACATCTATAGATGTATGTTTATATGAAATACAGCAAGAAAGTATATTAGAAAAATATATCTATATGTAGATACACAGGAGAGCTTGTATCAGAAGAAATTAAACAAAATATTTTGTGCCAAGCTTATTTTTTGTAGATAACAGAGATTTTAAGTTGTGTTTATTAGAAATCATTTTTAAATAGGAAGCTTCATTTCTTAGCTCGAGATTGTAAAGTAAACCGATGTTTTCTCCGTTACGTATGTATAATAGAAATGCTTATTTGAATATCCATTTTGTAATTAACGTTTATTAACAACATATATCGATAAACCAGTTGAAATTTATTTTTTCTTTTCGAGGGAGCCACTTATGCGACATGGACGTTCTTTCCGAACTCTAGACTTTCCGGTTAAACGTGTTCTTATGTATCTTCGCGTGTAATCAGGAACTGGCTTGGGAAATAAATGCCAGCAGATTTTATTTTTTTTAAGACGAAACCCTTCGTGCACTGGTGTAGCGAACATATGAATATTAAACTATGATTAAGAAAACTGATTACAGCTTTATTACTGTCGGTGGTATCAATTCGTGTATATGTCTTTACCTGATAGCTGGATTTTCTTCTTGATTTCCGCGATTTTTTTGTTTAAATCGTTCAATTTATTCTCTGTACTGGGTGTTAAAGGCTTGGACATGGTATCGCAAATTTGTTCAAAGATCCACGTGGTGCTTATCGACTTAACAATGCGTTGTCCCGGTGGTGGTGTTATATAGTGCTTGATTCCTTTCGTCATGCGCAAATATACACTCTGTTAGATTCATTAAATAGAATATTTAAAAAATTGTTTATTTCATTCCAAGTTAGTTTAGATATTTTCACGTTGAGTTTATTGTTAGTAATCGAATGATACAGGTTTGATGCAAGAATGATACAAACTATTGATAATAAAACAGCTATTTATGAAGTATTTCTAAAATTATAGGTATTTATTATTTGTTACGATTCTTGTATAAAAATATTCTATAAGCAGAAACGTACGTAACCGTCATAATACCAGATCAGAATTACTCTACAGAAATTTAGCAAAATATACCAAAACTGTGAAACGAAACAGATAATATATATCGTGACCTATTTCATCTTACGTCATTCGTACTTAATATTCTGATTATAATTTTTCAATTAAATATTTTTCGTGCGTTCCACTTCTACTTATAAAATGTTTTACACACGTTTCCCGTTACTACACTTTGGTCGCAACGCTCTAAAACACACAGTACACGTTTGCGTCTCTAACTATCCCAGAAAAATGCCAACTGATCAAGAAACCAATGATCCATATCGAGTCAGTGAAAAATAACACCGTTGCTCTCTCGGTTGTGCAATATTTTCTGCTCGACAACGCGTCGCGGTGCAGATGTTTGTGGTTCGATGATAGGGTTAATAGTTTCATTAATAAAAACTAACGATCGCCGCGTATTGACATTTTTTTTTCTCGTTTTTTTTTTCGCACGTGTGTATCGCGTGCTTAGGACACAAACGGGAAAGCAATCCGTAAGGCTTCGCCCGTTGAATGGGCTTAAGGAGAGATGGCACCGAATTATAATTCCCGCATTTGTATTCGTTAAGGCAGCAGCCGCGCCTGGCGGCTGGCTACGCCGGCGATGAATTTCGCGTTACACGCAATCAACCGCTGGAAGGTTAATTAATGATCAGACATGCCCCGCCATTGCGCGAGGAAGCTCATACGCATCGGCGTCTTGGCACTTTATAACTGACCACGCGTTCGTTGCGTTCCGTTTGCCGGCTGAATTCTAGAGAACCGTCACGCGCGACGGTGTTGGATTTCAATCCGACGCGGAATCGTCGATTCCGCATGAATTCACTGCTCGAATTCACGGAACGAGGCGAAGAAACAGCTGTCGAACGCTCCGAAAACAATCCGATTTATTTACGATTATATTACGCGCGCGGATTACTCAATGATTCGTGTCATATTGACGATAGCAAAACAACAATACGATTTTTTATTGGGAAAGGAGTACGTAATTACATGCAGGAATGTAAGGTGTTTACAGAATAAGTAAGTGTGGAAATGTTAAGTTGACCGATATTATTATTTTTTCATATATTTTATATTGTGTGACTGATGACTTTCTTTTTTGTTACCTAAAGGTGAAAGTATCAGAAAATATAAGCTCTGAAATATATGCTTCTGTTAAATTAAAACATTTTAAAAGTTTTTAAAATTTTTACAACTTTATATACATCATTTGAAGTTACATTTTTTTCTCAAAAATCTGGTTTTTAAATTAGATTCGAAAACACAACATGAATGATGCCATTTTGTCAAATTTTATGTTTTATTCTTCTTTCTAATAGCGATCTAGGCCATACTAATAGAAATTAAGAATTTGTTCGCATTTATTTTCGCCTTTTGTTCTAATTTAATATCTTAAAATCATTAGAAAGATTTCGCAACATAATTGAATTACTCTTATTGGATTTGCCACCTTTACATAACATAATAAAATATATTAGCAAGCAAGGATAAATGAATGTATGTTTAAGAACGTCGATGCCACTATTTCAATTTCAAAAACTGTCGTTTACACGCGCCAATAATAATAAAGCGGTAAATTTAACATACATACACAAACTTAATAACGATTTATTTGTATAGATACACGTTTATTCAAAATACAGTTAATATTTTTATAATAACTACTCGTAGTATCATAAATTTAATCCAACCAAACATCTATAATATTTACAATTTATACAAGGGATATTTAAGATCATTCTGTAGAGAAAATTCTGTTTCCTATGGGGCATGAATGCGTTCTGCGGCGCCATTCTTTCGTAGCTGATCTCCCATTGGTGCACGTGACCAGCCATCCCTTGCCGGCGTAGTAATACAGAGACCGGAGGCAGGTGCGCGCGCATTGGGGAACTACTTTCAGCGCGTTAAGCGAACAATAGGGATCCCAGAAGTGTTTCGGACGCGGTCGTGTTCGTATACGGTTGCCGCATGTTTTTTTCTCGTTCTAGCTCGCGTGTACGTGTATACAGATTAGCTGGACGTATCGGAGGTGACATAGATTTCGGACGATGTGCGTGGTCAAGTGACGGTACGCGGATCTTATACTGAAGTGTACTAAAGTGTTGGTTTCTCTCTAGTGTGTGCAACCGGGCCCCGATGAGTGTGTGTCTGCTCGATGTGTGTGGATAAAATTCACGGCATCATGTTGTTGCCACGCCGAAAATTGGATTACGCATCGATGGCGTTCCTCTGCCTGCCATTGCTGTTATTGCTTTCCCTGCCTACGGTGTCCGGTAAGTGTTCATCACAATATTACTCGTTCGAATCACTGTCGGCCACTCGTTCGGAGTCGGTTTGAAGTCGTTGTTCGCCACATGTCGCTGCTAGGCAACAGGTCACGAAACAACGCTGAGCGCCGGCGCGTTCGACGCTCGCTTAACTGACGTTCCGCGTATCCTTTGAATATTTTCTCAGTGAAATGTCGTTGAAGCTATTCGAGGTCAACGCGTCGAAAGATTATTGAACGATTTCGGGCCGTGCAATTGGTATTCCGTTGTTGATTTCCGACATCGGCGTGCTTGCCTTCGAATACTACCTGTCTCGAAAATATTGACCTTTCGGTCGTCGTCTACTGTGGACGTTTCGTTTCCTTTTCAAATACGTATCGAACGACCATTTCTTCAGTCGTTACTTTTAATTTATTAGGGAGATATAGGTTCTCACGTTCATATGATAGGGGAACATTATTATGGGCATCCAGCTGAAATATGATCATTTTGAATATAAAATTAAAGGTTTGAATGTTGTCCATGACTGGGAAGAAAGTTCTTCTGTCGTTTATTCCCATTGTATTCTTGACGTATGTGTGCTGGTCTCCTTGAATACACGTGGTTATGTTACTGTCACAGTGGTGCTCAATTTCGATAATGTTCATGAGCGTGCGCGCGAACATTGACAACCCCTGAGGGACAGGTGCCCAACCCCGCTTTCCAGGAAACGAGCCTTTCTTCCCTCGTGTGCACGTAAACATCCGAACCAGCATTTCGCGTCCCCGTTTCCTCTCGACATTATTCACAAATAACAGCTTAGTTTTTTTCTCCCCAGACGGAAATTTTTTACCTGCAGGGATAAGTTTTACGTTTACCTTTCTTCTATACCTACCGGTTGCTTCACAGGAACAACGTATTCAATTCTCGGAATATTAATGGCCTCTTTATAATAGTTATTTAATCTTTATTTCTTTAATAAAATTTAAATAATGATTGTTCTTTTAAATTAAGTATAATTATTCAGAACAATTTACATTAAAACAGTATTTGGTTTTCTTTATTGTATCTTTTATAATTGATGTAAAGAAATTTACGAATATACTGTTGTTAGGAAGTTAATAATTTTAGTGACTTTTTTATATATAGTAATGTCGTGTAAAGTGTGAGATATGTAAATTCGTATTTATTTTAGAAAATTGCACCGTAGAGCGTTTTATGACCTTTTGGATATTTACGGTCGTGAATTTTCATTTTCACTTTTCCACAACGCATAAATCTCCGGCGGGTGGTGACGTAACGACGGTTCAGACCAATGAGTACTTAGGCGGGAAGAACGTGCAGTCGGTACAAAGCAGGCGGCTAAAGAAAGTTAGCAAAACTAGATAATAGTGACGCGCGGACAAATGCGAACTTCAGTCTATAGTTGTTTAATATTATTGCGCAAGGGTCTCCAACTTGTTTCAACTTAATTTACGACACACAGGAGAGACATTTGACATTAGTCTGGACTTCTAATTTTGCGAATTTTATTCTCAATAGTACTCAGAATTTTTTTTTATTATTGTTAGACAAAATATTTGTTGTAGTACAAAGTAATAAATAATTTTTAGACAGTGTTGGAGTATGTTACATAAATTAACTATACGTACAGAAAAAATGATGATTCAATGAAACACACGAAGGATACTCCAAAATTACAAAACTGTCACACTCCAAAATGATTGTGCTAATGTGCAATAACTAGACTCCAGATTTTTATTTAAATTCACGTGTTTATGGAGTACTTTCCAAAGATACGAGTTACGCAGTTTAGTTGTTCTACCAAAGGTTGTAATTGAATAAAAAAGTGTACTGAGAATTTGATCAACACTTATAAAACTTTTCATTTTCTTATGTTTAGACATTATTTTAGTCCAGATATTTCAGACTGATAGTTTCAAAGATAGGATAGATCTTTAAAAAATTTTATATGCAATAACAATCATTCTATGACATGAATAATTTAATTATAATTTTTAATAGTTGGGGAAGAAAGATGGTGTTGTTAATGATTCATTGTGATTTTTAGTGCAGCGTTGGTTGAACAGGAAAGGAATCATTTTTATTAATTGTCTTTAATTTTGAAAAGATGAGCGACGTTAGTCCGGGAGTAAAAAAAGGCGGTTCAATGGCGGATGATATTCCGGAATGTTCTCCGATTGAGGCGGTCTGGCAGTCGCTTCCGAGAGCAGACCGAGGTCCTCGCCTCGAGTCTGTTACTTTGCATTGAGATACTCTGAATGCGGCATGGCGGCAGTTCTCCAGACGCTCGCTGTTCTTACGTTCTCAGGCTTTCTCTTCTCTCTCTCCTTAGGAAACGATTCGCCCGGCGTTAACGTGCTTTCACACAAAACTACGCGTCTCCTGCGCTCCGATACAAGTTATCGCGTTCATTTTCGCAAACCTAAATCACGATTTCCCTAGGAATTATTAAAATTATCAAATTGATCGAGTATTTGCATTATAAAGAATAAATATAGTTTCCCTATAAGAAATTAAAATATTAAACCATTTAAATGCTCCAAAATCTTTTGCGTACTTACATGGGAATAAGAAGTTTGTATTTTAGAAACGTAATGATAGATATAAAATAGAATACTCAATTGGGAAATTATAAAGAAGGAAATATTTTTTTTAATAAAATGGCATTAAACATTATAAAATTCATTTAGTCTATCAATCCGCTAGAATCAACTATATCCCTTAAGAGCGTGTTAAATTCTGGCTAGATAACACAGTATTTCCGAGAATAGAAGACCAGAATGTGATTGAAAAACATAAATATTTCAGCTATTTGTTTATATTGATTTATAGGTTTCACAGATTCAGAATAATAAATGAATGAGTCAAAAGTGACCTGTAGTTGAGGCGATCATCTAAAACTATTTCTTCTTACTGTGTAAATATAGAGATTTAAATGCCTGGAAACATTAAATCGATAGGCCGTGTATGGATTTTTAAAAGCACTTTAGTCGTTTAAGATCCATTCGCTTTTAGCTTTTCGAGCGACAAATAATTACGTCCTGGAATTCCATTCGTCTCTATCATTCTAGCCCTCCAAAGACACTCGAAACCGCCGCCGTGACTTAGAATCCGACGTGCGATCGACCTGCAACCGGTTCCTCGTTCCCTTTCATCGATTCAGGGGCCACACGAGCCTCCCGTGCACACGTGCATGCACACCGGTGCAACTTGAGAAACGCGTGCACAATGATACTAAAGTCTGCCGCGCGTCTTTCTCGCCGTTCACCTGGAGGGAACCCGTTCCCCAATAAAGGTCACAATTTGACGATTAGTCAGTATTTCTCGGCGAAAATATCGTAGAAATAGACGTGCAACCTTTCATAATTGGATTTCATTTGTTTCTAACCAAAAGTACATAATGAAACCGGGAGAAAAACATTAAATCTACATATCAAGAATAAAATTCAGATTGTCAAATGCTTTGTCAGCAGATAAAATTCTTTTCTTGAATTCAAAGTTATAATATATAGATGTGCAACTGAAAAATTACACGGTCTTATCGAATTTATTTTAAGTTTTTCACTGCTTAAAGTACTGCTTTCTGTGAAGCAAATGTATAGAAAATACAAATATTCTTTTGGATCTGGAATATTTAGATTGCTTTATCAGATTAGACCTGGGTTGGGCGTTATCGAAACATACTCTTATTCGAATCAAATTTTTATTCTATTATTTGCTTTGTTCCTTTATTTAACTTAATATTATTTCAATAATAATAAGTGTCACAGATAGTTTATTTTCACATTTATTATTTAATTTGCTATTCAGCTTTGTTGCGAAATATATTTATCTACCACCGATCTTTACATTGAAAATCCAATTTACGATAGGCTAATGCTACATATCGACTTGAGAGTGTTAGTCTTGACAATTGCTCTGTACTACACATCGATCCGGGACGAATTCTTCAACAGCTTATTTTCCAGTTGTAGTCGTAGTTTTTACTTTCGAGGATAGAACTCGCAGAATGCTATTCTCACGAGTACTTACTTATGACGCGAATCTTTAAGACTCACAGGTACTAATCTGCTAAAGGGTGAAGGACTACTCGAGTCACGCGTTGCCTCGGAATAGATGGACAATCGATGCTTTTCCCCTGTTCCTCGATCCTTCCATTTTCTCTGTCAAGCAGGAGATCGAGAAAAGACGAGAGATACAGTTGGTATCTCGCGGCATCTGGTAACTAAAAGGGCAAGATCTCTGTCTCCCCGTTGCCGACCTGGCCTATAGGCCACACGGACATTTGCATTCGTTTTAAACTCCCTTCCCGCCCTTCCCCGTTGGTCGTCCCTTTTCATCCTGTTGTTGGCGCATAGCGTAAAACCGCATAATTAAGGACCTTCGCTACCGTACGTACATACGTCCATCCGTTCCTTCCGTTCTTTCGTTTCCATCCTGCCAGTTACGTCGTACAGAGATCCGCAGTGCTCCTCAGTATCGCGCAAGGATCGAGGATTGTGCCGTCAGTCAACGGCGGGACAGCCGCGAGCCCTTATAAAGCACGAAAGGATCTATCCTGCGTGACAGTATGTAGATTCCAAGAAGCTCGCCGAGAAGAGAATTTTTGCGAACAGGACTGGGGGAATATAAAAGTTTCTCGAGAGCTTGTACACCGACGAGCAAACTCGGCTTCCTCTAGGGGAAAACGTGATGTAAGCGAAAGACCTACCAATTGGTCACGGAGTTACTGAAATTTATGCCAAATTAACGTTTTAATAAAACTCTCGAAGTAGTTACAAAATGTTACCTGTTGTTTGCAGAAATTCCATTCTATCGCACCACATTCGAGGTTATATTTTGTAAACAATCCAATCATATTTTTATAATTGTCACCTGTGTTTGTGATTAGAATGAAAAATTTGAATTTACGTTAATTTCACTTTGCCAACACCCACAAAGGCCAACGAGATTATTTCGATATTCGAATTGATTTCATTGCATTTTTTATCTTCACTATCGCA